CCCGTGCAGCTGGGGCCGCGCGGCCTGCGTCAGCCTTTCCTCCCGGGCTCCCAGGGGGCAGGAAGCGGATGTTTTTGTGCCACCCCCCTCTCCCCCTTCGTGCAGACGGTAAACATCACCGCCCCCCACTCCCCAGGCCCAGGAGCACCTGCCGGGCACCTTCTCCGTTCATGGCTCTGGTCCCCCGTCCCGGGTGAGGCCTGGGGGGTGGGGATGCAAGGCCCTGGGCCTGCGCCATCAGCTCCCCTGAGCACGTGGGGGCTGTGTGGGGGGGGTGGCATGTGGTGTGTGGATAGCACGTAGCCGTGTGTATGTTTATTGCATGTGCGTGCTTGTGGGGGGTGTTTATGTGTGTGGGCTGTGTGTACCTGTGTGTATGCATGTGTTCACATGTGGCGTGTATGTGTGTGCACGTGTGCTGCCGCACTGGACAAGGTGATGCAGCTGGTTGTGAACTCGTACCCAGCCCAGGCTCCAGGACCCCACGGCCCTCTTCCCAACTCGCTGGCTGGTCTTCCTTCCCAGACACGCGGAGGCCGAGGACGGGGTGCAGCAAGGACGGGGTGCAGCAAGGCCAGCGGGGGCTCCCCAGAGGGAAAGAGCTGAGGGAAAGTGTTGGAGAGGGAGGATGGGGGGCCCTACAGTGAGGCCCCCGATTGTGCAGGGCCTCACCCGCTGCTCCCGGGACCTTCTCCTGGGCCTGAGGACAGAGGAAATTTGCCGTGCCCCGCCTCCCCCCCCCCCCCGCCCCACTGCCCCTCCTCCATCCCATTGCTGCACGGCCCTTCCACGACCATGGCGACCGCCCCTGCGCACCTGCCGCCCTGGGCGGGTCCCTGAGCACCTGGAGCCAGGCCCTGTGCCCAGAGCACCGGTCGCAGCTGCCTTCCCCCTCGAAGCGGCTGGGGCGGCAGCGGCTGCAGGCCCTGGTGTCACAGATGCGGCGAGTGCAGAGCCAGCCGGCGCGAGGGCGGCGGCGGCGCGAGGCGGCGCCCGGGTCAGGCGGGGCCCTTTGCTGGAACACCAGGTCATTTCAGAGAGGCTTAATCCGGAGGCCGAGGGCTTGCGGCCGTGGGGCGGGGCGGGGCGGGGCGGTGGGCTAGGCGGGGGCGACGCCCACGGCCTGCGCTGGGACCCTGAACTGCCAGGAGGAGCGGCCGGACGCTGGGGCGGAGGGTGCTCCTGGGGGCGAGGCGGGGTGCGCGCAGACAGCGACTCTGCGCCCAGGGCCCTTTGGGTCCCCGAACCTCCCTGATGGGGGCGCTGCCGGCTGGGTCGCGAACCCCGCTGTCTGCTGCTGTCCCCTCTGTTTTTGTGAGTGTCACCCCGTGTGGCTCGGAAACGGAAACCTTGACTGTCACTGCCTGGTGGGTGCCCCGCCTGGTGGGTGCTGGCCGAAGGGGCCGCCCTCCTGCAGCGTGAGGGCTGGGGGGAGCCCCTCCCCCAGGACGTCGGAAGCCACGCCCCTCGGCGGTCCAGGAGGTCCAGCGGCCTTCCCGGGGAGGGGCCCTGCGACACCCCGCACAGTCGCCGCGTTGCGTTAACTGCGGACGGGTGTTTGGGGAGAGTCCTCGAAGCCGACTCCGGCCTGTTCGGGGTGCTCTAACACCGTGTGTTCTGACCCGAGGGTCTCGAATCTCCGGAGCATCGGCCGCGCCGACACCCACGGCTCTGGGGCCGGAGCCCGCTGGTCCTCAGGGTGGGCGCAGGGCAGAGCCCCGAGCTCTAATTCCGCCCTAATTGGGTTTCATTCCACCCAGCGCCTCCTTAATGAGGACTAATGACATTAATTACTGTCCTCTTCACTTAGGGAGGTGCAGCAGAGCAGCTAGTTGTCGCTCGATGGCTCAGGGACAGCCCAGACGTGGGCGGGGCTCCCGGGCGAGGGCGCCGCCCCTTCTTTGTCCCCCCCTCCCCCCGCACCCCCCACCCCGACCCCCACACCAGCCCCGCACTTCCCTCCTCTCGCCTGGGGCTGGCGTCTCTCCGTCTCCATGTCAGTGACACATCCCCTGTCTGGGGGGGGCCCTGCTCTGCGGATGGTGACGACACGAGGGGGGGCGGACCTCGAGTGGCGGCTGGGATGAGCCCCCCCCTTCCCCCCCAGGCCATGCGGCAGGGGCTGCCCCAATGGAAAACCCACGGGTCACTGGACCCAGCAACTTCTCCTCCGGGAGTGGACCCCACCGACTCTGCCACCGGACACGGCCCTGAAAGGACGTAGGTGGGAGTTCCTGGGGGTGGGGGAGAGCCGAGGGCGGGCGCAGTCTGGGTGTCTGTCCCCGAGGGGGCGGGAGGAGTCAGGGACGCGCCCTCTGTGACGTGCAGGGGTTGCGCAGCGAGCACAGCGTGGGGCCAGTCTGCGCCCACTCCGTGAGACAGCGGAGCGTGTGTCTCGGGGACTGCGCGTCCGGCCACATGCAGCGCAGGCGGCCGTGTGGGCGTGTGGTGGGTGCTGGGCACGGCCTGCCGGCTCTCGCGGGCCCTGTGCCCACACACAAGGGGTCTGCTCTGCGCAGAGCAGGGGGCGTCCGTGAGTGGGTGGAGCCCACCCGTGAGAGAGGCGACGTCGTTGTTCTTGGTAAGGGGCGGGCGGGCGGGCGGGCTGGTGGGAGCCCCGCGGACCTGCGGAGAAGACGGAGCGAGAGGAGGGCACGCGGTGGGAGTTGGGAGAGAACAGAGTGAGCGGCGGAGGCCCCGTCCCAGTGTGCGTGTGCGTGTGTGTGTGCGTGTGAGTGTGCGTGAGAGAGCCAGCCCGTGGGGACCACACTCAGGGTCTCGTCCGTCGGTCCTTAGGGTCGGCCTGCTCCTCTGAGCTGTGTCCCCACCCCCACCACACTGGCCACCCGCGGCCACGGAAACGTAAGTGAGGACGAGTCCAGTGGCACCAGCCACACTGCAAGGGCTAAGGCAGCCACGCATGACTCGGGGCCACCCCAGGGGACCGTTTCCAGGTCACAGGAAGTTGATCGGACGGGGCTGCTCCAAAGCTCATGGACTGCTTGGGCTCTTGTCATTATTATTTATTGGTTATCAATTACTACTGCACGAGCTCCGATGAAGTAGACTTGGCGTTAAACCGAGACCAAGTTCAATGGTACGGTTGCTGTAGCATCTTCGTAATGTCCGTACCTTCACAACCCTAACATTCAGTTTTTACCCCCGCCCCCCCCAGATCCCATTATTCTGCCAAAGACGCCAGACCCCGGCACCCTGAAGTTCTCCTCGTGGGCCCTGACCGAGGGCCTGTTTCCCGCGAAGCGTGAGAGAAGGGACCTGGGCTCAGCCGGCCTGGGGGGGGGGTAAACTGCTCCCCGAGGTCAGGGTGGGGGTCTGTCCGCCCCTTGGGCCCCCCTGGGCCTCGGCCAGATGCAGTGGGAAGTGGGTGAGGGGGGCCAGGGCCACCGTCCGGACGCTCCTTCGGTGTAAGGAGGCGAGTCTGCACCAGGGCCCGCGGAGAGCAGCATCTGTCTGGGGCCTGGGCTCCGGGAGTGCGGGGGGCGGGGGGGCTTCCCAGGGTGGTCAGCACGTGTCTGGAGCACGTGGGCGGGCCCGTGGCCGTGTCCCTCTGTCCTGGTTTGCGCTGGTCTCCTGCACAGACGCCGGCGATGAGTATGTGCCGGCAGCCGGGAGACACTGGGGACCCCCGGTGGTTCTGGGCGTGGAAGGAAGGTCCAGCCTGCTGAGGATCCCGGGAAACCTTGACCTCCACTCTGGGGCTCAAGGTTTGGCCCACGGCGTAGGGGGCTGCCACATTCCGTCGGGGAGGGTACTGGTGAATCCCACCCACCCACCTCCACTGCAGTCTCCCCCCGAGGTCTCCCCACGGCGAGAACGCCTTTCAGGGCCACACGCAATCTCGGTTTCTCATCGACGAGTCCCTGGTTTTCTCTCGTTTAACCAGTTTCTCGGCATTTTTCACCTCTTGCTTCAGGCTCGCTCTTCCCAAAGTCGCCCTATTTTCCTGTTTTGTTTCCGGCAGCCGCTAGCCCGCCGTGTTCCGGGAGCGTCTCGGGAACTGAGGGGCGACTACGGACGCCCAGCGCTGCGGGGTCTGAGGGCCCACGACTCCCTGACTCGGGAAGGCCCTCAGCTCGCCTGTCCCCCAGCTGCCGTTCCTTCGCTGTGTCTTCTTCTCCTCCGGACCTCTGTCTTTGCGGGTCTTACCTGGAGGCTGTGGGTTTGACCTCTTTGGTCTTGTGGGCTGCCCTCTGTGGGGGGCGGGGGCTCCCCAAGGACCGCCCTCCAGCTCACTCCCCTGCCCTCTGACCCTCTGACCACGTCTAGTCTGGAGTCCATACCTCTTTTATCTTTCCCATTTCCTGTACATTGCTATATTTCTAATTTCTGAGCTTCTAATTTCTAATTTTCTTCTTGCTACTTTTTTCATCACGATCTCTTCTTACTCCCTTTCTGTGTGACCCCGGGCCTCGGTGTCCCCATCTTCAGGGTCAAAAGGTCGACACAGATCATTTTAAAGTTTTTTTTGTTTTGTTTTGTTTTTTTTAGCTCAAGCAGGCAAATTACTGAGTCAGTTCAAGGACCAGAAAATTTTATTCCATTATATAAAGTCTATGATTAGTGAAAGGATCAACTCATCAAAACCTGTGCAAGGGAACACACGATACAAACGGGCCGGTAGAAGGCCAGGGCGCTGAAAACAGACCTCGGCGCGGCGCCGGCTGTCCAACGAGAGTACTTCTGGTCACGCGTGAAATCTGGGAACCGGCGCCGACGAGACGCAGCGTCCGGTCGCAAAGACCGGGACTGAGTGCTGGTTACGGACAACCTTCCGGAGGCTGAGGGACAGTCACACACTCTAGGACGAGCTCGGGGCGCCGCGTCCGCAGTCGCGGTGGGCGGCCCAGCGAAGGTCCGACCGCGAGGACTCGGCGGCAGTGGAGGCGGCTGGGCCGGCGGGGTGGACGCGGGGTCTTCTTCAGACTGGAGCGGGGGCCGCCGTCGCGGGGTGGGGCCCAGGATGGCTGCTCGGAAAGGCGCTACTTTTTCTTCTTCTCCTTCTTCCCTTTCTTTCCCTTCTTTCCTTTTTCCTTGGCCTTGCTCCGGGTCCCGCCCTGCAGGGCCAAGGCCCGCCTCTTCCCCAGGGGGGTTTTGGCGTACCAGCTCTGAAAGGAAGCAGACGTTTAGGAATACAGGTCAGAAGTCCGTGAACTCACCGGGCTGCCCGCAGAAACAAGGGAGACCCTGCGGAGGTGGAAGGGGCAGGTGGCCACCGAACTGTGGGCACCCCACCTGTGTCCCACGGAAGCACTCTGCCACCTGCACCGCGGTGACGTCTGGGGGGCCACGGGCCCGAGCTGACCCACGGTGCTTCCCAGTCTGGAAAGATTTTATAATCCAAAAATTTCAAGTCTGCCTAATTTCATGGCAAACGGCAGAGCTCAAACCCCCGGAGCTCGGGCGCCCCGGGGACGGGCTGGCTGCGGCGACCGCGCCCGCCCCCCTCACCTTAAAGCTGTCCTCCTCCTCCTGGTAGACGGGGCTCTGGCTGCTCAGGGCCGCCACGAACTCCACGGCCACGAGCGGCTTGCGCAGCTGCTGCCGCACCCTGCGGTCCGTGAGCACGCTCCGCACCGCCTGCACCACGTGGCCCTGCGTGAAGCCGTCGCTGACCTTGGCCAGGCAGCTGATGTTCAGGGTGTTGGTGACGACCCCGCCAAAGCGCTGGATGATCTGTCTCCACAAGACTGTGGGGTCCGAGAGGGCGGGGGAGACGTGGGGGACGGGGTCACACGGCGAAGGCAGCCTGACCGGCTCCCCGCGCCGGAGGTGGGGGGCCCTCTCGCGGAGAGAGCGGCGTCTGCCCCGTCACCCCGCCGTAACCCAGGACTCCACGCCCTGCCACGGTCTCCTCGCCGACGTTTTTCCTCAGCCCCGCAACACGCCGCGGGGTGAGGTCCGCGGACGCCCGCGTTGGGAATGGATGGGGAGAAGTGAAACAGCGGTCAGTGCGGTCTCGTGTGGGCCTTTAAGGACGTTTGGAATCTCCCCGAACGGGAAGTGCTCCCCGGCGGAAGCGGGTCTCTGCTCCTCGGGTGTTCTGGTTTCCAGAGGGTGGACGAGGGGGAGCGTGAGTTTTTAAAAGCGCGTGTTTTTATGAGCAGGTTCTACTGTCCCTCGGCGCCACCGCCGGGCTCAGCCCCGCTTGGGCGTGAGGCCCTGGAGGGCACCCCGTATCAGACGAAGCGGCCCGCCCCTCTTCCGCCCAGCCCCCCAGCGGTGGGCCCATCCTGACTGATCTGCCCCTGGGCAGGTGGGGCGTGGGGCAGCCGAGGCGCTCAGGACGCAGGGACGCGGGGACAGGAACGAGGACACAATCCCTGAGGGTCACGCAACGTTGGAGACGGAGCGGACTCCGCACGGCGCCCCGGACAGCACCCCGCTGAGAGCCGGCCGGCGCTGCACGGAGAGGGGGTGGTGGCCGTACCCAGACGACACGGCCTGGTCAGCCATCCCTAGAGCCTTCTGACCTTCTGTGGGGAGCATCTAGAACGTTTTCTTAAGCTGTGACCATAACCACCTGAACCGAGCACAGCCGGGCTCCTTAAGTGACCACCTCATCCAAACATACAGATTCAAAAATGCTCAGAAAAATGCGAAGGTCTGATTATTGCCGAGGAACAGAACCTGCAAGGGACCACGGCCACATCTGTGGTGCTGGGGGAGGGGCAGACCGGCCACGGGCCCGCGGTGTCCCCCACAGCGGGGAAGGCGGGCGCCAGGGGCTGAGTTACAGGCAGGGGGCCAGCGGGGCTCAGAGGGCCTCAGCCGGACCCCTGAAGCCACAGCGGGGCCCCCCGGATCCACTTCCGGTGGGTTCCGTCGGGCTTGAGGCCCCCTCAGTCTCGCCTGCACACGGGAGGGGAAGATGGAACTCGGGGCCGCGGCGAGGGCCCAGTGGGCACCAGGCACATGAAGGGCGCTGCTCGCGCACACGGCACACGCTTGGCTTTCTGTCCCCGTGTGACCGTCGTCTCAGGGATGCCATAGTGGTCGCCGGTCGTTCAGGTCTGTGCCCGAGGCGCCTGCGCTCACCCACTGCGGAGGACCACGCGGAGCGACCACAGAGCGCGTGCAGCCGTCTGCGCCAGGCAGACTGTAGCGGGCGCGGGGCGTCCCTGTCCACACGCCAGGGCTGCGGGGTCGGGGGTCAGAGCTGCAGCCTGCGGACGCCGCGGCGGAGCGCCTGCTGCGGGGGAGGCCCGTGGGGGGCGAGCACCCCAGGCCGGGAGCCCAGGACCCCAGGACAGCATTAGCTGTGGGCACCCAGGGGCCCGTTCCCACCACAGCACAGAGTGGGCCCGTGGGTGGGCGGGCGGCGTGAGGGCCACACATGCGCCGCGCTCTCCCCGCCTCCCGGCCGTCCCACCTCCTGACGCGCGGGGTCCCCGCGAGCAGACGCGCGTGGCCCGTGGGGTGAGAAACTGCAGCCCCCCGGGCTGGCGTGCCCCTGTGGATGCCCCGCTGCCCATCTAAGTGCGGGGTTTCTGGGGTCCAAGCGCTGGTCAGGACTCCTCAGGACGCCTGAGCCGGGGGTCACTCCCAAAGCTCACCAGCATGTCATGGAGGTGAGCACCGGGCTCTGCGGTGGCACCACGGCCACCGAGGGACATCACAGGACGTCACGGGACATCACGGCCACCGAGGGACATCACAGGACGTCACGGGACATCACGGCCACCGAGGGACATCACAGGATGTCACAGCCACTGCAGGACATCACAGGATGTCACAGCCACTGCAAGACATCATGACTGGACACCACGGGACACCGCAGGACGTCACGGTCACCGCAGGACGTCACGGCCACCGCGGGACATCACAGCCACTGCAGGACACCACAGGATATCACGACCACTACAGGACATCATGGCCACCACAGGACACCACAGGACGTCACAGCCACCGCGGGACATCACGGCCACTGCAGGACATCACAACTGGACACCATGGGACATCACGGCCACTATAGGACATCACAGGATATCACAGCCACTGCAGGACATCATGACTGGACACCACGGGACACCGCAGGACGTCACGGCCACCTTGCGGTACTGGCCCATGGGCCCAGAGCCACCCCCAGCCCTGGAGAACGGGAGAGGCAGCCGGACTTGCCCCCCGTCCGCGCCAGGGGCACTGCGCTCCGCCGTCAGCAGCCTGCAGGAGAACGGCCTGGGCCGCTCACAGCCGCCGCGGGGCTGGGAGGGCGTCAGGGGCCTCGTGAGTCATCGGCTGGCGGCTCACGGAGGCACAGGGGCCGCCAGCAGGCTGCCGGGCCTCAGCCCAGCCGCGCCCACGGAGGACACACGCCCAGAACGGGCTCGGGCTGGCAGTGCTGCGGCCGTGAGGCCCGGGGGCCGGGGAAGCGGGGGCACTGCAGGCAGCGGAGGTGCGCTCTGGACCAAGTGACGTACTCCACCTTCCTCTCTGGGGCTAGAAAGGCACCCCGGTTCTACAGACGACTCTAATGACCTCCCCTCCTTTGGACTGGGGGGACCCGCACTCCGGGTCACCTTCTGTGTTCTGGAGCCCCAAACCGACTCCACCCGGGCGCGTGCTCGCGGTCACGCGGCATCTTCAAGCTGGTTTCGTTTGGGATTTTGCAGAAGCACGGAGGTGTGGCTGTGATATGGAGGCGCTTCTGGCCCCCGAGGCCTGGAGTTCCAGAGAAACCAGAAGACGCGGCTGGACCCGCCCGAGCACGCACGGGGTCCCGGGCGGGGGCCGTGGGGGCCGTGATGGATGGGGTTTTAGCGGAGCAGGCCCCGGGGGAGAGAGGCCAGAGGAGGCGGCGTCGGGACGGCGGAGGGGAGGAAGCACAAAGGGGTGTCTGGAGATCGGACGGGCATCAATCACCCTCGGGCACGGGTTTTCTTCGCGGAGACGTTTTGCAGGCGATGGCTTGATTTGGGAGGAAAAGATAGCTGCTGAGGTGTATTTGGCCGACCTCAGGGACTGCGTGTCCCGGGCGGATCCTCCCTTCTCCCCCCCCCCCAGCCTGGCCGGCCCTGCCCGGGGCCGCCTGGGGGAACCTGGCGGGGCGGGGGTGGGGGGTGCGCCCGCCCTGCCCCTCCCGCTCTGCTGCCCGCAGACGGACGGTGGGACGCGCAGCCCATGCCTTGCGGGCCGGGAGAGACTGTCTCCGGTCCCTGCGAAGACAGGAGTGGGCTTTCTTTGAGGTGGATGCCCCAGCCGCCGAGGCCACGGGAGCTTCCGGGTCACGGTGGGGGGAAATGCCGGCCGGCATGTACGGTGGCAGCAAACACAGATCGCCCCCCGAGAGGGAGGCCCCCCGAGAGGGAAACGCGAGGGAGCAGGTGCGTCGGGGCAGAGCCCGGGGCCGGGACGACCGCTGCGCGCAGGCTGGTCCTCTGCCCGCAGGTGCGGGGCGCCCCCCCTCCCTCCCCCGAGGCGCTGCCCGAGGGGACGCAGGCTGGGACGTGTCTCGTGGTCTAGTCCTCACAGATGACTGGCAAGTTACCAAAAAACACAACTGCCTTTGCTGGGGGCACCGGTACCCATGGTTTCATCACACTGCAGACATGTTCAACCCAAGGTCAAGAACAACGCTCTGGCCCCTCAAATCACGAACATTCTACCTGACTCCGTTAAGATAACATCATGCCTGACGTATCTGAAGGGGAAGGAGAAGGGGGAAGGGAGGAGAAGGTGGAGGAGGAACAGGAGGGGGAGGAAGAGGAGCAGGAGAAGAAGAAGGACAACGCAGCACGGAAAGGAGCCCGACCACGGGGCGTGGGGAGCGAGGGGGAGGCCCGAGGAGGCCAGGAGCGGGGGACCCTCAGTGCCGAGTCAGCGGCAGCCCCGCCGTGCTCACCCGTTCCTGTGCCAACTCCTCTGTCGGCCGGACAACAGGTCCCCACCCCACCCCTGACCTCGGTGGGGCCCCGTGAGTCATTCCGGCCAATGCGACCCGGGGGAAGACCAGTCGGCCCCTCTGGGTCCGGTCCCTCAAGTCTCCTGTGAGGCCCTCCGGGCTGGCCCTGTCCCCTGTGCTCAGATGCTGGCTGGGTGCCAGGACCCAGTGGTGGGGGGTGGGGGCCCTAGAGGGCGGAGAGAGGCCGCTCGGTAGATGGAGAAGGCCCCGGGGCCGCAGCCAGCCGTACTGCGGGTGCAGCAGGGTTCACGACACCCGGGTCGCAGCTCATCGAGACGGGAAGGCACTCGCATTGCAAACAGGGCGGCTGAGCGGGGAGCCCACAGAATGCGGGGGGAGCGTCGTCCTCTTAGCTGACCGGGGGTCGAAGCCCCCCCCAAAAGACTGCACAGCCCCTCTATCTCAGTGGTGCTGCTGTGACCGGCAAAGGATGAGCAGAAGCCACGTCGTTCTTACAACCGTCATTAACGCCAAACCCCGCTACGGCGTCCCTGCTGCGGCCACTGTGGTCCCCTCCCCTCCGTTACAGCCGTGCTGCCGCCCCCATCACCACGGGAGGCCACGGCGGCCCCGCAACCAGCTTCACCGCTGGTGCTCACGCCCCGGGGAGCCCACTGCCCGTGGGTCTGGGCTGGCCGTGGGACTGGCCACGTGTGGCGACGGTGAGTCTCTGGCCCCTGACGCCGGGTCACAAACCTCCTTCCAGCTTCTGCCCGAACCCCTGGGATGTCTGCTCTTGGGGGGTTCCCCTCGGGACCAGGTGCCGGGCAGAGCCACGGGCAGAGGGTGGGTGTGGGCTGTGTGTGGGCTCACAGCAGGCCCGCGGACGAGCCCTTCCCCCTCCGCACAGGAGGGGGCGCCGTCTCAGATGCCCATCGGAGGGGCTGAGTCCCCCAGCTGCGCCCTGGCGGGGTCGGGGGTCGGAGCCGGGTGGGTCGGAGCCCGGGTCCCATGCCCCCCCCACGTCACGGCACTGCCCCCCAGGGTCTCCGTTTGTGGTGTCCTGTCCGGCAGTGTTCCAGGAGGGGTGCCGTCTGAATCCGTCTACTCGAGGAGGAGAAGTGGGAAGAAGGCAGCTTCGGCTGCGTGCCGTGTTTATCTGGAGCGCGTCAGCGTGTTCCTGCGCTCCCTCGGAGACTGGCAAGTGAAAGCCCAACCCGGCGAACCGCCACGGTTCCGTGGGAGACAGACACCGTCCGCACGGGCCCGAGGAGCACGAGACGCGTGACCCCAGTCCCCCCCCGTCAGAGGGAGCACTAGCACCCACGAGGGCTGTGTCCCCTCCAGGCCGCGGAATCGTCGCCCCCGTCCGGCCGCCTCCGGTCTCGGGGGAAACTGCAGTGCGTGGACCACGGAACGGAGGGGCACGTCCTGCCCTTGCGGCCCGGCGGTCAGGGCTGCGGGGCCGGGCTGGGCTGCTGTCTGGGAGCGGCAGGGACACCCCCCGGAGCCGACTGGGTGACGAGGGCCCCCCGCCACTGCAGCACCGGTCGCCAGCCCCGACTCGGGGCCCGGGGGACTTGCCGTATCTGGACGCGTAGTCCGGCCTGGGGACCAGGATGATCTTCTGGTAGACCCGGCAGAAGGACTGCAGCTCCGCGTCGAAGGGGCGGCAGGTGGTCCCCACGATCAGGATCCTGTCGTTGGGTTTCAGGAGCTTCAGGATCCGGGGGAGCTGCTTCTTCAGGCGCTTCGGTTCGATCTGGGGGGGAGGACAGAGGGGGGGACGAGTGAGCCCCCAGGGGAGAGAAGAGTTAAGGGGAGGAGGCTCCGAGGCACCGGCACTGGGGGGGGGGGGGGCTGCCGGCTCCTTCATGTTCGTCGGGGGAGTGACGGCGGGCGCTTCCTGTCCCCGTTCTCTGGAATTCAGATCTGGAAGGGGAGGAAGGAAGCACCTGCAGAACGTTCTAGCACCTGGGCCCTGAGAGCGGCGGCGGGAAGAGTGGCGGGTCTCCAAGCGCAGGGAGCTCGCTGGGGGGGTGGGGTCAGCACGTGGGGCCCCCGTTCCTCTGGGCTGTTCCGGGGGTGAGCCCGAGGGTCCCCGCCAACGGCCGTGGTGGGCGGGGACCGAGGCGCCCGGGCTCACGTCTGAGAGACACCCAGTCACGGGACGGGGGGGGGGCTGCCTTCCCCGAGGCCGCTGGCGACACGGCGACCCTGCTCGCCGAGTCTGATCTGTGCACGCTCGAGGGACAGCAGCACGACCCAGGGACCTCGAGCTCCAGCCTGAGCTGTGGGTGCAAGCTTCCTCGCACCCACACAAGCACGGACCTACTTCCTGTTCCCGCAGACGCGTGTGCTCTGCGTGGTTCACGGACGCAGGACCACACGGTACGTGCTGGGCGTGTGCGTCCGGCTTCCTTCCTTTAGCCAGAGTCTCCGAGGCGTGCCCGGCCGTCACGCACGTCACTCTGCGTTGCGGCTGTAACACGCAGTGCCACCGTTTGCCCACCCACGCTTCAGCTGGTGCGTGTTGGGGCTGTGCCCAGGGTGTGGCCGCCCTCAGTGGTGCCGCTGTGAAGTCCGTGTAGACACGCCTTCGTTTCCCTCGGGGACGCACACGGAATGGACCGCTGGGCTGCGTGGAGACTCCAGGCTCACCCTGTGTACGACTGCCGGCTGCTGCTCCTCCACGGGGCTGCCCCGCCCCCCTCCCGGCGCCCGAGGGTCGAGCCCCAGGGTTTCCCCGTCCCTGCCCACACCCGGTCCGGCCCGTGCCCTGGCTGCCTCCATGCGGCCATCCCAGCGGGTGGGAAGCGGCGGGCATGGTGGTGTCGATGTGGACGTCTCTGCGGGCTAACGTGGTGCGGCGTCTTTCCAAGTGCCGGTCAGCGATCTGCATCCTCCCTGGGAAAACGTGTGTTCAGATCCCTGGCCGCCGCTTCACGGATGGGGCCACGCGTCCTTTGTGGCCGAGTCGTGAGAGCCGCCCGCCCCCCAACGGGTTCCCGATGCAGGTCTCTCGGCGGGCGGGCGGCGCCGCCAGGCCCTCCTCCCGTTCCGGGAGCCGTCTTTGCGCTTCAGTGACGTTTTTACAGCAAGTTTCTGTTTAGTTTTGATGAGATACAATATAATTTTTCTGCTGTCACCTGTGCTTTCGGTGGCGTGTCTGAGACACCGTCGCCAGCCTCTATCATTTTCCTAAGGGGTTTGCAGTTTCAGTTCTCACGTTCAGGTCTCCGGGGCACGATTGGGCAGTTTTGGCACCCTGGGCGAGGTAAGGGTCCCCCTTCATCTTTCGAGGGCGGCTCTCCTGCTGTCCCAGCACCGTTAGTTCAGGAGAGGATTCTCTCCCTGTTGCGTCGTCTCGGCGTCTTTGTGAAACAAATCCGTGGATCGCACAGAGAAGGGTTTGCCCCGGAGTCCCAGTTCTGCTCCATTGATCCTCGCGTCTCTCCTCATCCGGCATCGCACGCGCCTGGCCGCCGGGCTTTGGGGCGGGGTTCGGACCCGGGCAGCGGGAGTCCCCGGCCCTGCTCTTCTCTGAGCGCTTTGGCTGTTCCGAGCCCCTGGCCTGTCCACGTGGGTTTCAGGGTCAGCGCGTCAGTTTGCTCCGAGCGGCCGGCTGGGGTTTGACGGGGACTGTGTTGAACCTGCCGACCAGTCTGGGGGCTCTGGCCACTCTCACAGCAGGGAGGTTTCCGGTCCGCGACCGTGACACGTGACAGAAGGCTCCCGGCAGTTCCCGCTGCGCTGCGCGAGCCTTCAGCCGCTCGGCTCTGAGAAGCTGCTTCTGGGCCCCCGGCCTGGTGGTGCCTCCTGCCGGGGTCCTGAAGGAGGTCCCTTCGCCGGTTCGGGGACCCCCACACGCTGCTCCTAGATGGGGCTGAAGGGCGCGGCGACCCTCGGAGTTTACCCCACCCCGTGGACCCAACGCCCCCTCCTGCAAGGCGGTCCTACTGAGGAATGAAACCGCCCTCTGGGAGCGCAGGATGGGCAGGAGCTCGGGGCGGTGGGCCGCGATGGAGGCGGCCATCCTGGTGGGCCGTGCTCGGGTTTGCAGCACCCCGGGGGGGGTGTCCCGGGAGACCCACGTGGTTCTGGTGACTGCATCAGGGTCTCGGGGGCATGCCTGGGCTGGGGACAGACTAGGGCAGGCACTAGTTTGGGGGTGACTTTGAAGCTGAGATGTGGTGACGGCAAGGAGAGAGAAACGGGATCCCTGACATCCTTCAGGGGTGGGCGGGGGTGGGTGCAGGAGACCCCGCGGAAGGGCTGGTGGGGCCGCGGGAGGCCAGGGGAGGGCAGGGCCCTGGCAGCTGCGGGTGTCGAGGACCAGGGCAGGGGACAGAGGCGTGGCCGGGCTGCGGGGGTCTGCAGCCCGCGCCGCGGCTGTAAGACGAGAGGGCCCGCAGGCGGTTTTCAGGACGCGGTCTGCAGTGGCCCCGGGCTGAGGAGGGGTGGCTGGTGGGCAGACGGAAAGCCAGGCGCTGGGGCTCAGGTGTCCCCCTCCCCCCGGGGGAGGAAGGTGCGGCCTCTGCCCCCAGGTGGGCCTGTGTCCGGGCCCCAGAGTGGTCCTGGGCAGCTCTGCACCCCGTGGAGCCTCTTCCCCTCCTGCAACCTGGGGCGGCCGCTTCCCTGGCATGCGTGCTGGGCTCGGCTTCCGCCGGCAGCCCCGGGGTCCCAGTGCGTCCGTCCCCCCACTGCGGTGCAGGGCTCCGCGGCCGGCAGGCTGCCTGGCTTTCTTCCTCGCCTCCCTGCTCCGGGCTGCGTGGGCCTCGCCCACACACTTCGCCGCTCAGTGACCTTCACCCAGGTCGGGGTTCCTAGGGGGCGGGTGGTCCCTGGGGGTGAGACCTCTCCCGAGTGTGATTCCAGGATCGCCCCAGTCCGGCGGGCGGGCGGCCACCCAGGGTGCCGCGTGTGCCTGGCCGGGGAGGGTGGGGGCGCAGCTGCCCCCTGGCTGCTCTGCGGGTGGGATTTTTCATTGTGGCTCCGGGCCTCTGGGGTTAGGGGACACCGTAGGAACAGAGGCCGGGGCGGTGGGGTCCCGGGGTGGCCGGGTGATGCGGTGCGGAGCCTCCGGGTTCCTCCCGTCGGAGGATGCAGCTTGGCGTTTGGTGTCCCTTCAGGACGTGCATGGGGGTCACTGCTCCCCGCCGCCCCAGGCCCTGCAGACTCGGCCAGGGCAGCAGCCAGAGGTGGGGGGCCCGGCGAGTGGAGCTGGCCCGGCCCGCCCCTGACTCCCGGGCAGGTGGCAGGAACCCCGCTCTCCGAGGGGCCGGCCCAGGACGTGGGGGTGAGCGGGACCCCGATCCCGCGTGCAGCTGGAGGACACACACACACACAGCGGTTCCCTCCCCACGGTGCTCTCGCCTGTGGGGGCACAGGGCTGGGCTCACACCTCGGGGTGCAGTGTGCTTGGGGGCTTGCAGCCCAGGGTGTGCCTGGGATCGCTCAGGCCCCCCTCGGCCTTGTGGGTGGGTGGGGACCTGTGCTCGTCAGGCGGTCTGGATTCACCCAGGGGTCTTCAGTGCTGCGGGCTCCCCCGATGGACGACAGATGCTTCTGACATGGAGGCGGACAGAACCAACGCCCACTAGGGCTGCAGCTGCTGACGGCTCACGCCCCTCATGGTGGGGGGCGCTGCACGACCTTCGGGGCTGTTCTCACTGAAACCCTTTGTGCTCAGAGAGGTTAAGTTACTTCGCCAAGGACACACAGCCAGCTAAGGTGAGCAGCAGAGCAGGCCAGGAACCGAGGTGTCCCGAGTCCCCACGGCCCACGGTCTCCCTCCTGCCCACGCTGCCCTCCAGCGGCCACGGAGGAGCCCTTGCCCAGGAGTGAGATGAAACTCCGGATGGCATGGGGTGGATTAAGCACCGCCCTGCTCTCCTCCTAGCTCTGTGGTCTGGGGTGGGGGCTGGTCACCAACTCCAGCCTTCAGGTCTGCGTCTTCGCCAGCAGAGGGCGCTAGCTGCCCGGCCCGCAGATGCGGCAATAAAGGAGTCCTCTAAGCTTCTAAAGCCACGGGGCACCGGAGGCTCGTGGGGGGGGAGAAAAGACTGAGCTCTCGTCCTTCATCCAAACCCTCTCCACCTGCTCACAGTGCTGTCTAATGCCCAGGACCCAAAGTGATCAAAATCCTCGAGGATGCGATCAGAAATCCACGGTGGACCACTGCTATTGGCTTTGGTGCCCATTGACGTGGAACAACCATCGTGGGTGTCCGCGTTTTTTTTTTTTAACTCGTGGGAAATCTGCCGGTGCTCTGCGGGGGGGGGGGGAGTGCGGGGGAGGGGCGCGGCGGGGAGAGAAAAGGAGGAAGGAAGCAATCACAGGAGGGCCTCCGGCTCCGCTCCGCGGGCGGGCGGACGGACGCTCTTTGTGCCGGAGCCCCAGGCCCTCTGTGGCCCCTCCTCGTGAACAATAGGAAGTCCTAACAATGACTCCCGTGTGGGCCGTTTTTTTTTTAAAAACGGAGCAGAGTTCTCTGAACGCTTCTCACCTCTGAATCAGGTGCCTGGGCTTCTTGGAGCTCCCCTCACCCCTCCTCCTCTACACGCTCCTTCATTTTCTCCTAAGTTGTGCCCCAGAAAAGCGGCCACCGGGCGCTTCACACTTGGGCAGGCCCTGAGGCAGAGGGAGGGGCTGTCCCCTGGCCCCCGGTCCCTTCCTCTCGTCCCTTCCTCCCGTGGGACAGCGAGACCTTCTCGAAAAGCAGAGGCAGCCCTGGCATGGGGCCCCCTCGGAGGGCGGGAAGGCCCGGACCAAGACGCGGCGGAGGGGCCCTCACCATCCTCTCGGTGTTGGGGACTTTCTTGTAGAAGGTTTTCTCCGTGTCTCCGATCCACACCACGGACGGCTGCAGCTGCCGGGCCACCTGCAGGGACAGTGGGGGGGGCCTCGGTCGGATGCGTGCCTCTGTCCGTCCGTCCAGGGCGCACGGCGGGCCCCAGGGGAGAGCAGGACGCCAGGGCTCCCTGTGTTGGCCTTTGGGGGGGTGGCAGGGCTGGCAACCGAGTCCTCCTCCTCTGCCACCCACTGCTCCCACCGCCGGGGCAGGGCACACGGGGCGCCTGCGCGTCCCGCGCCGGGTCCCCAGGCCTCGACCCCGTTTGGCTTCCAGTCAGCCAGTGAACAACCTTCTGCAGCCCACGGCTGGAAGGACAGCCGGCCCAGTGCACCTGGGTGCCCGCAGGTCTGCTCACCCGGAGAAAAGAGGGCTCAGCACAACACCGTGCCCCCCCCCCCCATTTTCCCAGTGCGGCCTGCTCCCTGCCACGGAGGGACCGGCTCAGTGCCCAGGGGCACAGCTTTGCGGAGTCATTGTTCCCTAGAAGCTATTTTGAGTTTAAATCTAAAGCTTCCCTACTTCCTGCCCCGAAGGAAAATAAGAAAAATGAGGTTTGTGGGGGAAAGGTCTTCAGCTTCTTAGGAAAAAAAGACACTTCATTATGACAGAGGCAAGATCTTATTCTTTTCAGTTCCTCTGAAAAATCTCGGTTTTGGCACCGAAACCCCTGGACAAACAATGTTCAGGTGACCCGCCGTCGGGCCGTGGGTGCGCTCCCGTGCCGGCGGCAGGCCCCTCCTCTGCCGTCCACTTGGGGCGAGGGGTCTTCCGAGCGTACCCCCGTGAGCTCCTGTGAGCTCGGTCCAGCTCCCCCCGGTGGGACGGGGCGGCGGGCGGGCGTTCCGGGGACGCTGGTGCGGGTCCTCCTCCTGCTCCTCACCGACCGGGCCCCACGGGTGGGCTGGAAACAGGCGCCTCGCTGCCTCGGGGTGGCCTCGAAACCACCGGTCTTGCTTCTCGCCCCTGACCCGAAGTGGCTGTGACCTGCCGGCCATGCCGCACCGCGGAACTTGAACGTGGCCGACTGTTCCCTGGATGGCCCGCTCCTTCCGAGCTGGCGGGGGATTCCACTCTGCCTGGGCCCTGGCTGCACCCGTGCCGGACTCCTTCCCCGGGGCGGGCGGGCGGTCATCTGCGCGGGGCGCCCGGTGCTGTGCACAGGACGGCAGTTTGGAAAGGCACCGCTGTTGTCGAGTGAAACGAGCGAGTCCTTCGGCGTTAACGACCGATAACGACACGGAGCGACCCTGCGCCCAGTGCCGAGCGCCTGGATGTCCAGGACTCCCCTCACTCGCCCAGGGCCATGTGCTGCACCGGGCGCGTCCACACTGTGTCCCCTCTTACAGAGGAGGTGGCTGAGGCACAGAGGGGGGTCAGCAGTGCGCCCACCAGCGCTGCAGAAGCCGTGGAGCCGGGGTCGGACCTGTGTCTGCTTGGCACCTGGGCCGGCGCCCCGCACAGCCAGGCAGCAGCCTGTGGGGCACCGCAGTCCACAGGTGCCTGTTCCGGACCCTTCGTCACCCTGGGGGCCGCATCCTCCTCAGTCACCTCTCCTTCCAGACCACCCCTGCCCGGTCCCCCGAGACAGGGTCTCTGATCTCCCCGACCGTCCTCCCCAGCGGGCCGGCCAGGGCGCGTGGTGAGCGCGCTCCGTCCTGGGCAGACAGGCGGGGCCTGGAGACCCAGGCCTCAGGAGGGGCTCTCTCCCACCAGGAGGGTCCGAGGGGCGGAGGCTCCTTCCTTGGAGAAAAGGAGTCTCGGGGAGGAGTCGGCTGTTTCCAAGGAGACTGTTGCGGGAGGGAACCCGGGGGGGTGTACCACGTGGGACCCGGCACGCAGGTGGAGGGCCAGCCCTCCTCTCCTCACTCACGAAACTGTCCCGGAGGGGCTGGGATACACCAGGTGGGGCCTTGCCCTCGAGGAGCCTGCCAATGGCGGGTGGGGAGACCCGAGGCCGTGAGGGGGCCCAGGGAGGGAGGGGCGTCAGAGTGCTGGAGAGGGCCAGGCCTACCCTCTGGGGGGGCTGCTCGGTCACTCGGGGGGGGTCACAAAGGCCTTGGCCAGCCCGCTGAGTTTGCTCTGACCTGGGCAGCGGTTGGGCGTCGGTCAGGGACTTAACACTGGAGCCCGTGGACGCTGGCTGCGTGTGCGAAGCACCCGGTAGCGGGCGGCGGTGCGCCGGGGCGCTGGGAAATCAAGAGCAAGCGTGCACAGAGGGCGCAAGGCGAGGCTGGAGGCGAGGGGGCGAAATGCCGAGGTGGACCCTTCCTGGCCCTGAACTTGCAAAAACGAGACGGCCCCTCCCACGCTGATGTCACACGCACTCACCCAGCGTCACTGTGCCGCGGTGCCCGTGACCTGCTGGCCTGGCCCCGGGTTTCTGGGCGTCCGGGCGGCTTACGCCCTCTCACTCCCCAAACAGTGCTCGGGGGCGGGGGGCCCTTCGGCACGAGTGCCGGGTTCCCCGGAGCGATGGCGGACCTGACTGCCACCGGGGGGCAGGCCGGGGTGTCCTTCACGCTCCGACGCGTGTGGCCCACCTGCGGGCCGGGGGGGTTCCCTTTCCCTCCCCAGCCCCAGAGGGAGTGGGCCTGTTTCTCCGCTTTTCTCAGTGAGTGTTAACGGTAAAAAACTCTTTGCCGATTTGTTAATGAAAAATGGCATCCTTTGCTCTTTTAATTTTCGTGTAGCAGTGACAAGGCTTCGCCGAAATTACCCACAGGCAGCTGGAGGTCATGGACAATTAAATGTCATTAACGCGTAATTGGACTTCACAGGTTCCATGGGAGCGTTTCCCGCGATGGCCACTAGGGGGCTCTTGGGTCCCATCAAATGTCACTGCAGGTTTCCGTTTTGTGTCAGTTCTGGAATGAAGACCGATTGCCACCAACGTGTGCCTTTTCAGATTCTGGAAAGTTCTGTCGAAGACGAAAGACTCCCCACCCACGTCAGTTGTGTGGGTTTGAGCTTTGGCGTTCCCCAACGAAACACTACGGAACGCTCGGGGCCAGAACTGGGCTCCCCGGGTTGGGGTGCGGCGGCGGCACAGGGAAAACCCCAGTGTCCGGCCGGCCGGGTCTGCCCAGGCCACCCCGGGACGCCCCCGAGATTCTCCCTGAAAGGGTCCTACTTTGCTCGCCGCACAAAACCCAGGAGAAGGTGCCTCCTTTTTTCAGTTGTTGTGTATGGGTTCACCAAACCGAAAAGGACCACCCACCCACTCACCCACCCACCCCACACACGTCGGCTGGGCATCAGCGAGGGGTCAGGCTCTGGGGCGGGAGGCAGGGGGCATCTGGGAACAGAGAGAGGGGTCGCTGCCTGCAGAGAGCGGAGCCCCCTATTTCTGCACGGGGGTCGCTGGGCGCAGGGCACCACCAGGGCGGTGCGGCCGTGCTGGGGAGGGCGTGGGGGGGGCTGTGATGGGACGGCGGGGCGCACTTTCCTGAACTGTGGTCACGGAGATGCTGTTCAAATACCGATATGTGGGACGTGTTGTATTTCTACTGTTTTAAAGTATTGTGGATTTCTCTGCCCTTGCATTGCCTTCTACGACACTGTGGAGTCGAGCCGCGACTGGGTGTCGGTTGGGATAAACTGCGAGTGACCGAGAGTCAGGAGCGCGGCTGGGCTGACCCTGCGTGGAAAGGAAGGTAAACTGAGGCAGCGGAGAGGAGAAGGCTGGGGACGCAGGTGCCGTGGACAGTGACGGGTGACACGGTGGGGGGAGCAGCCTGGTGACAGGAACGCGTTAGTGCCTCTGCTGAGGACTGGGCTGTGCTCGCGGGGGCGGGGCCTGGAGGGCGGCAGGCTTGCAAAGCGCCAGGGGGTTTCCTTCTGAACCCCCTTCTCCTTCCCAGCCGCCCCCGCTCCTGGTGCCGACTGCGAGAGGCACGGGCGTGCACACCCGTGTGCAAGGCCACGCTCAGCTCCTCCTGCGGGCGCATTTCAGCCTCACCGAAGGCGCCCTGCTCCCGAGTGTCTCCGCGCTGGTGAAAAACTCTGCGGTGCCTGCGGCGTCGACTGTGGTCCCGGCTCGTCCCTGGGACCCCAGCCCCGGCCCGGCGCCCTGCTCCCCGCGGAGTGCACCTGCACCGCTGGTTCAGCTTTCCCGGGAACCCAAAACCGCCCTGAAATAGGACGTCTGGGTTTAAAGAAAACAAGCAGAAGTGGGAACGCCGCCGAGGTGCGCTCGCGGCCTCGGCCTGGCGCGGCGCTGGGGACCTGCCCTCTGACAACCGCCCCTTTATTTTCATACCCGAGGCCGCGCCCCCTGTGCCCCCCCTCCCTCTGGCTCTCGCTGGCTGGGGCAGCTCTGTGTGCTGGGTCAGGTACAGGTCTCCACTCTCTCCGCATTGAGTTTCACGGTGTGAAGGTGGGACTAACGCATTTATTACATTTATTACACATCTGTGTCTGTGTTTTTTCAAGTCACCCCCGAGTGGCAACCCGGCCGTTGTTTGGGTTACCAGCCTGGAGCAGCAGCCCCCACACCCCCCCTCCGGCCCAGCTGCGGACTCCGGCCCATCTGGACAGGGCCCCTCGGCGCGCTGCCCTGGCTGCTGGCTGCGCGCCCAGCCAGGCGCCAGGGTGGCACCAAGGCGGGGGCAGCACTGCGGCCTCCCTTCGTCCAGACTCTCCGGCCCGAGGCCCAGACCCGACCCTGGCTGGGTGGGCCCTCGGCCTGCTGTCCCAGCTGACACGGACCCAGGTGTGGCCTTGCTCTCGGGCCACCCCGAGGACACGGGTCCCCCCCCGGGGCAGGGTGCGAGGGAGCTGTCTGTGCCCCGGAGGCCGGCTGGGGCCAGGAGAGGCTGTGGGGACAGACCTTGAACCCAGAGGCCGGGCCCTGCGCTTCTCTGTGTGTTTGGCTGGATGGGGCACTCTGGGCCACGGTTTTCTGTGTGTGAGTGGGGGCGTCAGTTCCTGCTGCGCGAGGGGTTTGGGCCGGCGGAGAGGGAGGGTGCACGCAAAACTCCTCAGGGTGGGCAGCGCTCCCGGCCGAGGTCGCGGGCGATCCTTCCTGCGCGCCCACCCCGATGTCCTGTCCTGCAAACCCCAGGAGGCCGGGGCTCTCGGAGTGACGGCCTCGCCTCGGTGACTTCCTCTGTCCAGGGGACACGCGTTAAGTGTCCATCGCCTGCCCCGTTTCTCGGTTGGCTAGGGGACTGTGCTGCTCCTGTCCCCTCACTGCAGAGATGGGTGTTCTTTCCCACGTGTGTGTGGCTTCAGTAGAAGGAAGAACCTTACGTGAGTTGTTCGGTTGAAGAGAGCGTTCTAAGTAACAGCAAACACACTTCTTCAGGGACTCCGAGTTGCTCTTCCATTGCAGTTCCTGTGAGCGAGCAGAGGAAAGGAACCCTCCGGAAATGCCGGGTACGGGTGGCCTCGAACGTGTGGCCGTGGAACAATCAGAGACTCGTCTTCCCGGCGTGTTGTCGGGCGTGCAGGGCGCTGGGGCTGGAGCAAGGCCGCCGGCCGGCCCTGACCTTGTGGCGGGTTCCCGGCTGCTGCGGCCTTTGCCCTCCAGGGACTAACTCGGGAACGGGGACCTTTTCGCAGAAGACAGGAGGGGTCACCGGGCCTTCTGTCGCTGCACCTCCCCAGCAAATGCCACGGGCCCACCTCCGCCGCCCGCCCCCACTGCGGCCCCCGAGCTTCGGCCCACCGAGCACAGGGCGCACGCGGGGTGCCTCCCTGCCCGCGCCTCACCCACTTTCTTTCACTTAATTAAAAGCAAACACCTCTCTGCAGCGCAGACAGCTGGCCTGTCACGCATGCCGGGACGTGGCGTCCTCCCGGCACAAGCCTTGTAATTGAAGGACTCCCACCCTGGGCCTCCGGGTCCCCCACGGATCAGTTACACACACAGTGGGGGCGGGGCTTCCCGAGGTGTGTGTCAGCGCTGTCCCACGGAGTGGCCGCGGTGGACAAGGGTGCCGGTCTACCTTCTGACAATTTGACACGTGGCATTTTGTGGGCCACGTGATGTCGGGTTGCAATGATTCTAAAAAAAATGCCAGTGTAGCTTATCTGATACCAAGAAAACTACCTCTCAGCTGCCAAAACAATTTCCTGAGCGTCAGGACAGCATGGTGGTGCCAGGGGCCGTGTCCCAGAATCCCACAGGAGCACCGAGCCATCAGGAGCGTGGGAGCCGACAGGCTGAAGTCAGCCCGGCTTTGGCTAGAGGCCGGTAATGCACTCAGACCTGGGGGCTCCCATGCAGACGGTGTGCTCACTTGGCAACATTGTAACCACTCACATGGCAACACTGTAACCACTCACATGGCAACACTAACTGCTCAATGGCAACACGGCAACTGCTCACATGGCAACATTGTAACCGCTCACATGGCAACACTGTCACTGCTCACATGGCAACATTGTAACTGCTTGCATGGCAACGCTGTGACCACTCGCATGGCAACACTGCCACCTAGGGAAGTCACTTAAACGCCCTGGGCCTCAGACCATGGAATAACGACTTTGAAGGGCTGAAAGAGACACGTGTCAGCCCAGAATTCTACGCCCAGCAAAACTATCCTTCGGAAGTGGAGCTGACGTGAAGACACTGTGAAATGAGTGAAACGAAAGCTGCGGGAGGGAACCCGCTGCCAGCAGACCGAAGGCGAGCACGAAGGGAAGCCCTGCGGCCGGAAGGGAAGTCGCACGGGCGGGAAGCGGACCAGCGGCACGGAATCAAGAGCTCTGGGGATGGGAAATACGCGACCAAAGGCGAAACACGGACTTCCCCTCTTCTTTTCTTTAAAAGGCAAAGGACTCACGCAAAACCCACAACACGCTCTCGTGGGGTTTACCACGTTTCTAGATGTAAACCGTATGACAAAAACATGAAAGACTGTGCTGCCGCAGGTCCTCACACGGTATGTGGGACAGCACCACACTAGCCCCACGGAGACTGCGACGAGTTAGAGACGGCCCCTGCAGCCTGCAGAGCAGCCAGGAAACACAGGAACGAGGCGGCGCTGCAGTGCACGGCCCACCGTCTGAACTGAAACGAACTCAAAACAACGCTGGGTGCAGCTGAGCAGCGTACGGTCCGCCCGGAGGGATTCAACCACATAAAAATGTTGTCCCGGGAAGTTTTAGTGTTGTGTATAAATACCCTGCACCAAAACGCCTTAAAATAGAATCATCCTGGCGTGCACATATGTGTACTGTCTGCCCATCTGTCAGTCACCTATCCTCTATGTATCCGTCTGTCTGTCCATCACCATCATCATGGACAGACAGACCGTGTCAGGGAACCACCGCTCTCCGGCCGACAGTGTGCCCCCACCACCCGATCTGGCCCGTGCACTGAGGGGACGGTGACTGGGGGGCTGGGGAGGGTAGACCTTATCCAAGGTCGCAGGGCTGGTGGCACTTGGGCCTCTCAGGACACTCCGTCCACTGGCCTGTGACACAACCGAGCATCTGCATCATTGTAGCCGGAGTGGCTGCCTGCGGGCGCCCCCTTGCCCCCCGTGTGAGGCTCCACGTGCAGATGGCACCGGCCCGCGACAGCTCCCCCCGTGTGACGCGAGAAGGGACCGCAGAGCATGCGGGTGTGGAGGCCGCTCCTGGGGGGAGGTGGGCTGCCGGAGAAACCGAATTCAATTTCCGACGAGGCGCCAGCGACTCCGAGAGCGCGCCCGTGGCCCAAGGAGGCCGCTCTGCGGGGCAGCGCGGAGCGATCCCGCAAAGGACGGAGCCGCCTCTCACCGCTGGGTGCCCAGCCCGACGCAGCGACCACGGAATCTGCAGAAAGACGCGGGGACCTCGCGGAAGGAGGCTCGAGCCGGCCTGGGTTGCTGACCGCAGGGCCCGCCCCACGCGGCCCCAGGAGACCACTAGGGCGGGGTCTGACACGCGCGCTGGCAGCGGGGCGCGCGCGTACCTTGAGGACCAGGTGCAGCATCATCTGCAGGCCGCTCCTGCCGGGGTACTTGCCCGCGATGTTGTCTGCGGACAGGTTGAAGAGGTTGGCCCCCGTCTCGCTGCAGATGGCGTGCACCAACATCTTCTTCCCGACGCCCGCGGGCCCGGCCAGTAGCAGGGACTTCACCAGGGGCGCCTTCGCGTGCACCTCCGCGGAGCCTGCAAGAGGCGGGGCCGGGCTGTGAGTCCCGCCCACCAGCGAGTCAGCGGCTGCTCCTGGACTCCCGGCCCCGACGCCACCACTCCGCGGCGGGGCCCGTCTCTGCCACCGAGACCAATGCGTGGGCCGAAGCACCGCAGACCAGAGGCGCGCCTCCCCGCTCAGCTGGCGCTGATTTGTAGCCGGGGCTGGAGGCGGGGCCCGGGGGTCCCCTTGGGTAACTGACTGACACATCGTTTCCCCTCCACCCCCACCCTGGACTTTCCCCACACTCGTGGTTTAAAGCCTCCGACAGCTCTGGGGTCACAGATGGGGGGGGTTCTCTGCCTGTCAGCAGCATCTCGTCCTTTGAGAGCTCGGGAAGGGGTCCTGGAGGGGGCCAGGCAGGGGCTGACACCTGTCCGTCAGTGACTCTCAGGGGACGGGGGGACCCCGGCGGCTGGAGCCGGACTTGCTCTCCCGCTGGTTTCCAGCCGGTCAGCCGGCGAGGCCACCTGACCCTCGACAGGAGAGGGACTGGAGTCACTGTGCCGTCGCCGAGGGTCCTCGCCCGTGCACTCGACCTCGCGGTCGGCCCCCTCCGAGCCCCGGTGGGGACGTGCCCCTGGCACGGGCCGGCGTGGAGACAGCCGTCCCTCCCGTGTGCCCCTGCTCAGCCGCCGGGCACTGCCCACGCAGCCGTGCCTGTGTCCACAGTGTGATCATCACGGTGCTTTTCTCCTTTTTTCTCTTCTCCTGCACTTGAAAAGGCATCGTGCATCCACCGTACACTTAGAAACAGTTTTTGTGGCCCCCTAACGTGCCCCTCACGCACTGGGAAACAGTCTGGAGCGAGGTCTCTGTAAAGTGAAATCAAACGGGCGTGCTTTATCTGTGGCGAGTGGAGGATCAGGGAGACCATTCTCCACTCAGGAGAGAGACACCTGTTCGTGGGGGCCTCCTCGGCACCTGGGCGCCGAGGGCCGCTCCGCTCCTGGTCCGGCCGGTGGCCTTCGGCTCCCACGCGAAGGCAGCCAGGAAGTTCTGTAAAGAACTTACTGCGCCTGAGTGGGCGTGGCCAGGATGGAAGGGGAATGACACTGAGACCCCAGAGAGACCCCAGGAGTTCAGAGAAGCTGCTGCAGTGAACGGGGTGGTGGTGGGGGGCTGGGTGGGGGTGGCTCAGGTGGACTTCCAGGAGGAGGTGGCACCTGGGCCAGGTCGGAAGCACAGGCAGAACTGGAGCCTGCAGGGAAGGGGGTCCTGTGGGGGGATTCCGAGGGAGGGGCGCAGGCCCGGCCTGGGGAGTCCAGCGGTGTGGGGGGCGGCAGATGTCTGATGGGTGGTGTGGCAGAGACATCGGGGGGTGGGGGGAGACAGTGCTGCTGGCCGTGGGGGTCGCTGGAGGGCGGTCAGGGCTGCGGACTGGCCAAGGTGCTGGCTGAGGCCAGCGTGGAGTTGAGTGCTGGGGACAGAATCTGGCGGGGGGAGAGGGGCAACTGGAGGGAGGGTCGAGGGTGGGGGGGACTCAGGAGAAGGTGCACATTTGCACAGAGAAGTGACTTTCCAGAAGGAAGGGGGTGGTCGCCAAGGTCACTCGGGCAGGTAAAGGCGGGGCTGGGAAGGCCTCTGAACCCGGGGCCTTGCTGACCTCCGAACCGCCGATCGGCGGGGACAGGTGTAGGCGGTGGAAGGGGACACGCCTGCCACCGCGTCCATGGCTCTTCCTGCCCGTCCCAACTTCCAGCGGCAGAGAAACGACAGAGAATTGCTGAGACACGGACCAAATCCCCAGGCTCTCCGTGTCCGGAGGGTCCGCGTCACGAGGGTGTGTCCGTGTCCGGAGCCGGCTCTGCCGCTCCCCAGTGCTGGGCTCCGCTGGCCCCCTCGTCTGGAAAAGCAGGGCCAGCGCCCACCTGCACGGACTCTCCTGGGCCGAGCAGCGGCCCCCTGCTCCGTGGGCCCTCCCCTCCCTCCCTCTGTGTGGGCGGGGGGGGGGGCAGCAGCACTTCTGGGAGGGAGGGGGCCGCTGTGGGCAGAGGCGGCCCGGGCACTCCGTTATCCGCCCAGGGGCTCGGAGAGCGAGCTCGGACCCCATCCCGGGGCCGGGGCGGCGGCCGGCAGAGCCTGCGGTGCTGGGGCCGGGCGGGAGCAGCGGCTTCGGCCCCGGGCCTGGGCCCCTGGCTTGTGGCTCCGTCCTGGCAGCCGTGACCCAAACCACCGGGGCCTACGAACACATTCCCTTTTGTAACTGGATGCTGGTTTCAACGGCTGACATTTAAACCGAGCACTTGAAAGGCAGGCGTGGATGCGTTTCTCCGTGTGTCCCGGTCGGGCATGCAAGAAGGTCACGAGGGTGAGGGCCTGCCGGCCTGCGGCCTGGGGGGGCAGCGGCTGGAGGCGACTTCGGGTTCCTCGCTGACAAAGGAGGGTCCGGGCAGGACGCTCCCTGCGCCTCCTCCTCCTGACGGCGGCTCGGGGACGACCCCCGTCCCCCCTCCCGGGAGCGGAGGTGCAGGCGCACGCCGGCCCCGCTGGTGAGGAGCGTCCTACGACCCCGCCAGCTCTCCGTCTCCGGGTTCCAGAATCTTCCGTCCCAGGGAGACGGCCCCCCGTGAGGGGGCACTGAGGCCTCCATCTTGTTCACAGGGACCCGCGGATGCCACGCGTCACTGTGCCGACCCCACGTCACGGGGCCCTCCAGGGCCGCCTGCGTGCTCACGCTGTGTGATTGTTCTGCCAGTGCCACCCCCGGATTCCGGGCGCTGCCGCCGACATTTAGGTACAAGAGGAGCGAACTGTTTCTTGCCCACGGGTTGGAGTTCCTGTTTAAGCCCAAGAGCCCAAACGAGTCCCATCTCGTTTTAGAGCGAATGGAGCAAACGAAAGGCGGCTCCCAGCGCAGAAGGGTCGTTGCAGCTGCACCGGGCTGGCTGGGCGCCCCCGGCCGACTCCAGCCGCGTGCAGACTGAAGTCGTTAAGCAGCAGTGAACCCAGGGCTCTGTCCCGGGGAGCCCGCCACCCCGGCCCGGATCCGGGCACTCCACAGAGCTTGCATCCCTGGTCTGACCACCGCGCCGCCCTCTGGGGCCAGAGTGGACCTTGGGGAAGCCCGCAGAGCCTTGCTCCCTAAGAGCCAGGACACACCCTGTCAGGGACCCAGGAGGGACGGAGGGACGGAGGGACGGAGGTCTGGGTGTGACGGCGTGCCGTAGCCTCCGCCCTTGGTCCACGGTGACGCGTCTTCACCGCGGGTGCTTGCTGCGGCTGCGCTCCCTCCGGACGGACGGCAGCCCACGGGACCGTCCGTCTGCCCTGTGAACGCAGACGTGCCCCCCGGGGCGCCTCTCGGGGTGCTCAGAAGGCAGCATCATGACGGAGCCGCCCCCACTCAAAACTGGGGGCGGGGAAGCCACCACCACGCCGGCGACGACACCCAGGACGGCGTGGCCGAAGCCGGCACGCGGGGCACCGGCTCCCGGAAGGGGCCGGCAGGCGCGGGGTCCTTACCGAGCGGCAGGATCCCGTACAGGGTGACGAGCTGCCGGACGTCCAGGAGGGAGGGCATGGGCTCCACCGACACCTGGCGGAGCGTGGTCCCCAGGTAGCTGTACTCCCCTGGGGAGGAGAAACGGGGGGACAGGTGAGCGCGCACCCCGGGCCGGGCCGCCCGCGTGGGCCCCTGCGAAGCCGACTCGGGGGGTGCGGACTCAGCCCTGCGAGCAAAGACCGCCGCCGCGGGGCGGAGGGCCGGCCGGCGTGGAGGGCACAGGTGTCCCGGGAGGAAGGCTTCGTCAGGGACTTCCCGGGCGCGGGGGCACGCCGGCGTGGGCGCCAGGCTGCACGCTGACCTCTGCCCCTTCCAGGAAACGCCCTTCGAGCGTGGGGCTTGTGACGCGGAACCCAGTTCTAGACGGAGCGGCACACACACAGACGACGGGGGTCTGGCGGGCCGCGCCGTCTCACTCACGCCCCGAGAGACGGTGTCGAGCATCTGCGCCAACCCGAGGGCTGAGTTACCCAGGTCCCCACGGGGACCCTGCACCGGGGCAGGCGAGCCCGAGTCTAACGAGAACGCCGTCGTGGGGGAGAGGAAGGACCCGGGCCTAGTCCAGGACAAACAGAAGCATCTCCCTGTGAGGGTAACGGTCATTTACACTTTCACAGGCTGGCCGAAGGGACGACACAGGCACAAGTCTCCGCAGGTTTAATTAGAAGGCATCAAGGGGCTTAACGGTAACCGGCCGTAAATCGGAGGCGCTATCTCCGAAGTGCTTCAGGTGAGGGCGCCAGGAAAACGAGCCTGGCTGTCTTCGTCCCTCACGAGGGGGTCCCCGCCCCGCCCCGCCCCGACAGCCCGCCCCGATTCCCGCCGGAACCCGAAGGAACAATCCTGAGTGATCGCTTCTCCCGACTCTGGAACGAGTGCGGTTCCGGCCGAGTTCTGACGGTGCTCACGCACGACAAACAGACTTAGGTGCGCGTAAACACACTGAGAACACACTCTGCGCGTGTGAAACACTGCAAGCATCCCGCGCTTTAGAGCGTGTGCAGGTGCCCAGAGAACTGCAGGTGGAAGTGGCCAGGGCACAGCCGAGAGCCTGCAGTTTGGCTGCGGGGGGGGGGGGCAGACTTTCAACACCGCTGCGTGACCGAGTGGAGACCACGGCGAGGGCCGCGCCGCTGGCAGCGTGAGTGACCGCGTAGTGTCTGCTGTGGCTGCCAGTCCCGCGCGCTCTGCCGAACAGGACGGCGGCTCAGTTCGCCGTCACCAAGCCAGGAGCGGTCCCGCGCCAGGGTTAACCCCCCACCCCCCCGCCCCGGGCTGGCTGCTGTACGCACGGCAGCAGAGGCGGGGCTGGGGACCCCATTGCCCTGCTTAATTAACTACACCCGCACTCGCGCTGATGCGCCCTGTCTTCAAGCCCCACACAGGCTTTACTGGGACAGAGTATGGGGGGCCAAAGAGTGGATTGGGGTTCAGACGGAGCGGCCCCACGTCCTGACGCCCGGGACTGCATCTGCGGTCGCCCAGCACGGACGCTGCACGCCCGTGTCGTCTGCTCGGCCCGAGAGCCTGGGGCTCCTCCCTGCACGAGACCAGCGGTCCCACAGGGAGGGAGGGGGACACAGAGGGCGACAGGGTGCTGAGATGGGGCCGGAAGGGAGCCAGGGGGTGAGCCGGGGGTCAGACCCTGTCCCCTCACCCTTCCTCTGCCGCAGTCTTCGCCCCCAGCATCTCAGAGTGTCACCTGGCTGGGGAACGGAAACGCTGCCGTGGCAGTTAGCGAAGACGGGGTCAGTGGGGCGGACCCTAGTCCAGTCTGATGGGGTCCTTTCAGGGAAGGACACAGACACACAGACACACGCAGACACACACACCGAGAGGGGGCCCCGTGAGGAGGGGCGCAGGGACCCAGTGACACGGCAGAAGCCAAGGGACACCGGGGCTGCCCGCAGACCACCGGGGACTGGAGGAGGGGTATCGTGTACGACCAGCTCCGGCCGCGGAGCCCGAGGGCAGCTGGGCGTGCAGGCTGGGGGGGCACTGGGGGTCCGGGCAGCGGGGGCCCACGGGGGTGCAGCAAAGGAGCCTCTTCTGCCTCAGCGTCTGCGGAAGGAACAGCCCTGCCGACACCTTGGCCTTGGACTTCGGGCCTCCAGACTGTGGGGCCATAAGTTCCGGCCCTGTGAGCCCCTCAGTGTGTGGCTGTCGAGGCAGCCCTAGCCAGCTACCCAGGATGGAGTCAAGTAACCGAAGAGAGCAGAGATGGAAAGACACAGGTACAGGAAAACGAGAGGTGACAGAAACACCTGAGCAAGAAAGGTGGAGTCCGCCCCTAACAGTCCAGTCCGCCCCACACGGGGCTGCAAAGAGGGTGCAGGCTGGAGGGTTTACACACACACACACACACACACACACACACACACACACACAGGCCTCAGGGAAACAAGTCACCCAGAGAACGGGGCGAGAGAACACCGGAGGCCCCGGGAGGCCCAACGATGCCTGCTGGCCCGTGGTCCCCGTCCCAGCCCGCCCCAAGGACGCCCCCCGCCCCAGGATGCCCCAGCCCTCCCCACAAGCTGCGAGGACCCCACAAAGCACCATGTGACTCGTGAGAGACGGTTAAAACCCAGGGGTACTGACTTGTTTATACAATTTTTTTGGACATTAAAAAAAATGTTGTTTGCCCTTGAGACTGGCTGCCCGGTGATCGATGATGAGCTATGATTTGACCTCTGACTTCTTCTTCACCCGAGGACATTTTTAAAAATTGCTTTGAGAGAGAGAGGAAGGGAGAGAGAAACAGTGACGTGAGAAAACTCCCGTACGTGCCCTGAACTGGGGGGTGGAACCCGACACCTAGGTCCGTGCCCTGACCGGGAATCGAACCCGCTAGCTTTCGGTCACAGGAGGGTGCTCTCACCCACTGGGCCCCACGGCCCAGGCTGTAAAACTCGGGCGAACGCCAGCCGCCCAGCTTCCAGAGGGAGTCAGCAGAGAGCCGCCTGCGGGCTGGCTCTGGCGCGTCACCCCTGCCAAGATGCGGCGAGTGCCGGGGCACACACTCGCTCGGGAGCCGCTCGGGGGGACAGCTGGCTGCCGCTCTGACAGCCACGAACAGGGACACTGCGGGGGTGACCTCGTGCAGACCCACAGGACCCCGGCCCCGGACAGACAACAGCGTGGCTGGCTGGGGGACACTGAGGGCAGTGGTGCCGCCGCCCCCCAGGGCAGGGACTCGGGGGGGGGTGTCACCACGCAGGCGGGCGGGGGTGCGCCGACAGGTGTGTAGGACGCACTAGCTCAGGGGTCAGGGTCCCATCACCGCGCTTCGAGCCTCACCTGCACCCCCTCCTCCATGCGGGGAGGGAGTCAGCCCCCAGGGACACACGGACCCCACGCTGCACCCTGCGTGACGCTCTGGGTCACCTCACGGCACAGCCGGCCCTGCCAGTGCCCCCTCGACGACCGAAACGGGAACTCAGAGCCCCGGGGAGGCCACCCGCGCACGCGGTTCCCGTGCGCCTTACCGATGTAGTCCGAGAGGCTGACCTTCAGGGCCTGGACCAGCAGCCCCTCTTCCACCAGCTCCTTGTACAGGGACTCGATGGTCCTGGGGAGGGAGCAGACCGTCAGCGGTGTCCCCGCCGGCAGTCCCCGCGCCTGCAGGGCCCCAGAACCTGCCCCATTGCTGCGGAGCGCCCCCGTGCACCGGCGAGGGAGTGGGCTGCTGGGGCGTCTCCACCGTGTGGGGGTAAACGAGGCTTTTTAGAGATGGTGTTTCACCCGTGCACGTGTCCCGTTAATGCGTCACCTCGTCAGGCGGCGGAGGGCGGCGGTCACCCTGCAGCCCGCCCTCCCACCGGCCTTCGCGGTGGCGCGGGCGCCAACCAGCAACTGCCCAGTCACAGCAGCACGAGGAGCCCACGGTTGCAGACGCAGCCGGCGCCTGCGAGCCGTGGTCGATCATTAATCCTCCACAAATGAGGCTGATGTTTCCTCTGAAGCCACTCGCACAGGAGCTTCAGAGAACCGTCTATGAAGAACACAGACTCACGGGGGAAATGATTCCAGAGCGAAGGAGACAGCATCTGGGGCTCCCGGCGTGAGGCTCTTCCGGGAGGTGCTGGCCCCCCCACCGTGCGCACAGACGTCCGCACCCCCTTCTCTGAGAGGCCGTCGGGCATGGAGCCAGCCCGCGGGTCACTTACGGCGGCCGAGGTAACGAATGGAGACCCTGCCCTCTGCGGGGGCGGAGGCAGTGAGACCCCCGGTGCAGCTGGCTGGGGCTCGGCCTGCAGGAACTCAGACGGGCCGAGCCCACAGGCTGTTTGGCACAATCCTGTGACATGTTTTGTCTCCCTCCCCTTTTTTTTTTCCTAGGGGCCTTATTCTTTGGTCCTGCCCGAGTCTTTCTTTAGATTGAAGAATTGCAAATATGACTACGTTTAAACAGCTCTTGGGCTGTGCCGGGATCTGCGTTAGCATGATTAAAAGACTCTGGGATATCAGATCGGAGCCAAATACCACTGGGATGAATGCTAATTCAGTGACCCCAGTCTCCGAGGGGCTGGGATTCTGTTCTACCAGAGACAGTTAGAGCAGTGCGCTCTCTGCAGAGAATTAAGGAGCCTTGATTGCGATGGAGTTCGGGATAGCAGCGTCTGACCTTTGTCAGGGAACTGTGGTAGTTCAACTTGAATAATTTCTTTAACATAAACACGCAGCGTGCACAAAGCATTAACATACAGTTGGGTCTCCTCTAAAGTAATCAAAACAATATATTAACAAGCCCCCCCCCCCACGCAAACCTCTATCTGGAACCTTTCCAGGGAAATGCACTTTTGTACGGGACACATTTTCAACTTTCAAACTACCTTGAACTGGTAGAGAAATGCTGGTTTCGGGTTTCTATTAATTTGATGAAACAGATGTTGTCTTAGAGTATCTCAGCATTTCCTCAAAAGTTGGCTCAGGAATGCTATAGTTTAGACAATTTCTGAAGAACCGCATGGGTTTTGAAACCTAAAAGAGGTCACGCGCACTCAGGAGCCGTGGGTCCCGGTTTGCCCCCCGGGCTGCTCCTCTGGGCGCGCCTGCCCAGGAGGGCCCCGCCCTTGGAGCGGGCCTGCGCCACCGAGGCCCGGCGCTGTCCCCGCGGCACCCGCGGAGGACAGCGGGGGTGGAGCACCCACAGGGCCCCTGCCAGAGCGAGGCTGGGGACTCAGGCCGCGTGCCCTCTCCCCTCGGGGCGCGCCCCCCCCCCAACCCACAGACTTCACAACGGCACAGAGCACTCCTCACCTGTCGGCAGTCAGGTCTCCATCCTTCTCCCTTCTCCCTTTCCTGCCTTTCTTCCCCTTCTTCTTCTGCAAGAAAATGGGAACATCCAACAGCTCAGGAAGCACGAGGAGGCCAATGACGTGCAGACAGAAACCAGCTGAGGGCGCTGGTGTCCGGTCGCGGCGGCGGCGGTGGGGAGCGCAAGGGGAGGCCGGCTGTGGTGCGTGGACGTGGAGTGGACGGAAGCCACGGGTTCACGAATGCAGGGCCGTGTCCCCGGGGTGGGCAGTGGGTGAGTGACCGCCGTGGGAGCCGCATGAGCTGGGTCCCCGGTGCACCTAGGCGGGGCGACACCCCTCCTCTGGCCCTGCCGCTGGGCGGGACGGAAGGTGAGTGACCTGTGTGCGGTGGTCGTCAGCCACGCGCGTCCCTGCTGCCCGCGCCCCCTCGGGAGCATCCGGCCTGAAATCAGGAGCCCGCGGGGTGGGCCGTGGCCCACCTCTGCTTCCCTAAGGGGTCCGCCCTCCGAGACGGGGGGCAGCGGGGGAAGGCTTGAGCGTGCGGCCTTTGCTCCGTGCAGGCTGCCTCCCCGCTCTGACCGCACTGCGCCCGGCCCGCAGGTCCAGGGGGGTCCCTCGGCACCGGCACGGGGCCCCCCAGCCTGGCCCGTCTGCCTTTCCCGGTGCATCCTCTGTGTCGGGCCTCCGCGGGCGGCCTGGCCCAGGACGGGCCGGCGGGCCCTTCCCTACCACTGCCCCCTATTGCCCCTTGGTGTCTCCTAGTTCCTCGCTCACGCGGGCCCTCAGGGCCCTCAGCGGAGCGCGTCCCCCGGTTTACTCAAGGATGTTGTGAAGGGCACAGACAAACAGCCGGAGGAAGCGAGATGGGGGGCGGGGTCCAGGAAGGTCCCGAGTGCAGGAGCTTCTGTCTCCATAAAATTGGGGTGCGTCAGTCACCCTCCTGGTAGGTGGGTGCGCACGCCACCCGGGAAACGCTCCAGAGCCCGTCCTGGGGGCCTTCTCCGGAGGCTGCCCCCCGTCCCAGCACAGTGGGGACCCCGCCCAGCCAGCCTTGCTCGGCCGGCAGGAGAGTGGGGGGCGGGGCTGGAAGTCCTGCGCTTCGCACCTCGCTGTGGTCTTCCGGGGACACCTCCCGTCTGGAGCCACCCAGAGTTGCCTCCTCGGGACCCCTGGGGCTCCTGGAGCTCTTACCACTGCGGCATCTACCAGGGTTTCAGCAGCTCTGCACCCTCTGCAACAGGTGCAGAGAGCGTTTCCGTGTTTCCCACGGTCTCAGGGGCCTAGTGAGGGGGGACTGGGATCCCATCGGCTGCTCCAAAGCTCTGAGACGTGCATCGGTGGCAACTTAACATCCAGGTCATCCCCCAAGGCCCCTGCTCATTGCCATGGGCCCCGCACCCCCTCGGATCTCCCTGCGGGGGCAGAAGCGTGGGCACTTGGGGCACGGGCCCTGGCCCCTCTGACAGCTCCCCTCCCCCTGTTAGGGCCCGGGGATCTGCAGGGTGGGGGGTTGACTTTGTCCCGGCTGTGACCCTGCCGCCCTGGGGCCACGTGGTGAAACGGGGACCCCGAGGGAGGGAAGGTGCGTCCCCACGCGACGCGGCCTGGGGACGGTGGGGGTCAGCTGGGCAGCGCTGCTGGCCACGCGGCTGGAGCGCGGGCGTGGGTCGGAATCCGCACTCGCTTCCTCCCTCCCCTCACTCGCTCGCTACTCACATTTTTACCTCCTTTCTTCTTCTTCCCTCTGGCCGGGAGCTCCTTCTCCCTGTTCACAGCCAGCTTTAGGTTTTTCAGTTCCTGCCTCATGAGCTCATCCACCTAGGGGAGCCCAAAACACACCCGCGTTTCAGTGCCGGCGTGCCTTGTGCGTGTTCCACGCGAGGTGTGAACACGGCCTCACTTCTGGGTCGGCCACGGGGAGGGGGGACACACGGGAGGTGCAGCGACGGCCCAGAGCAGTGGCGGGGGAGGTGTTAGCGCCCTGGTGCAGCCCTACCTGCACCCGGATCTCCGACTCCAGCTCCTTCCGCTTCTCCTCCTTGATCATCTCTGGGTCGTAGTCCTGGGCAAAATTCCACGACTCGTCTTTGTTCTTCCAGAAGTCTGTGACCGGCAGGACAAGGACAAGGTGAACGACCTTCCTTGCACCCGAGGACCAACGGGAGCAGTTGTCCCCCTGTGACGTGTCTGCCTCCCGCTGCGGGGACGGCACCCGCACTGGACACAGACGGAGCCACCAGGAGGTGACGGGACTCGCACCGCCTCCCCACGCCCCCCCCCGCCGCCCACACAGGAGACACGCGCGTGTGTAACGTCTGAAGCGGGTGCGAACGGCGGGTATGGAGACGGCGACCAGAGAGCGGGGCACGAGGGCTCTTTCCTGCACAATCGCAGCCACGTAGAAACGTGTGCGTGTCCTGGGCTGACACAATTGTGGGGCGACTTTTTGTGAAACGTGTGGTGTCACTTTCATTATTCGAATGATTCGCTGAAACAGGGAGGAGTCTGCTGCCAGTCCAACCCACCGGCACGTGGCCCCGGCCCCCCACTGGAAGGCACCACTGAGCACGCAGGCCCCCCCCCCCCACCAGGGTTTGGCAGCCGCACGAAGCCACACGCAGCGTGCACAGCCTTCCCGCCCCCCCGCCCCGGCACCAGGGGGCGGGGGAGGAAGGGGACCCTGCAGAAAACGGGGGGGGACTTCGTGCCACCGAGTCAGGGGGAACCAAGTTCACGCCCCAGGAGGTGTGTGAAGTGCAGGTCGCCGGGCGGTGGGACTGGGGGGTCCCCCCGGGGGACAAGAGGGCCAGTTTGGGGAAAGATCTCCCCCTGCCATCTGTGCTCAGGATAGGATGGAAATTCACATCCTGAATTTGGGATGTGCAGGACCCAAACCTGCAACCACCAGCCAGCGTGGCCACCCCCACCCCGCCCCGGAACTCATTGTTAGGCAGTGGTTCCTCCCGACCTGGGGGGCAACGGGGGCCCTGGGGGCCGGCAGAGGTTTCCCCACTTCTGACCACGGCTGCGGCTTGGGAGGCCCAGGGCCCTGCGGCCTCGACGGCAGGTGAGTGAATGGGACGGGGGGGTTCCCTGCCTCAGTCTCGCCCGTGAGCACGCAGTGATGGAGATGCTCATGTTTGTTTGAGAAGGGAAACCTCTGATTTCACAGGAAAGAGGTCTGAGAAGACACTTCGTTTCTCCACGGCGCCGACGACCCGGCAGAGCACCTGCGTGGCGCCCCAGCACCCAGCCGGGGCGGTGACGCTGTCGGCTCCGAAGGATGCTGAGTGGGGGTTTTTAGTTTGGGTTTTTTGCCTTCGTGGAAACAGATCTTCCACCAAAGGTGTGCACGGTCTCGGGAGCTTTCCCGGACGGGCCGGTGCAGTTAAAGGCCGTGGCTTTCCCCGGAAACAGGAGGTTTCCCCAAGTTAGCATCTGCTTCTGCCGAAACGCTGCGTGCACGCTGCATCCCACGACGCGAGGGGGCGTTAAAGCGGTCTCCTGACGGACAGCCCTCCAGCTCCGCCTGAGGGCGCCCGTCCCCTCGGCCACTCGCTCCTCAGAAGGTGCTCCGGACGCTCCGGTGCAGCCATGAACCCAGCACGGTCATGTCTCATCCAGTTCACGAGCAACTTACTCACAAACAGCTGCATTCGTGGTGTCCCGGAGCCCGCCGGCCAGCCGGGCGCCGCTCTGGGAGGGGCCGAGAGCAGCACGCCCTGCCCCTGGGGACCCGGGGTCCCCCTGCAGGAACATGGTGGACATGCACACCCGGGTCAGAGGGAGGCGAGTCCGGGTGGGTCAGGGTGGGGCACAGGGTGGGTGGGTGGGTGGGTGGGGGGAGGCTGCAGGGACAAGCAGTCCGGGCAAGGGGAACAGAAGGGGCGGGCGCCCAGAGGTGGGAGTGAGGCTGGCCCGTGGGAGGAGGAGTTATGCCCCCTGGCGCAGGTGCCGTGCTGTGCTCTCACGTGAGCTCCAGCTGTTTCTCGGGTCTTCTCCTGGGTGTGTGTGCCTCCTGTGCCAGCAATTTCAGCCCTGAGCCCCCACCTCCCAGGACGGCCGGTTCACGAGGACCTGGCTCCCACCCACTCTCTGTCTCTCTCCCTCGTTTTCTCCACAGCACAGCGGGGGAGGGGTGCTGTCAGAGGAGGGGAGAGCCAGGCCTTCCCGACCCGGGGAGCCTGTCACCCAGTGGGAGTGCAGGACAGTGTCTAGATGGACACAGCGCCCGTGTTCCCCCGCCCAGGACGTCCTGGAGAACAGGCCCCACAACAACTTGGGGTGACAAGAGGACTGGGGGGGGTGACACAGGAAGGCACAGGAAGGTCCAGGCGCCGAGAGGGAGGGCCGCCGGGAAGGCGAGGTGCAGAGGTGTCTGCAGCGTGATGGGGAGGGCGCTCGGAGGTCGGACGGAAGGCGGGACCAGCGAGGGCTGTGTGAAGGGCGGGAGGGAGAGAGCACCGCGTAGAGAGGTGCCCTCGCAAACACTGTCCGGGTGGGCGCACAGCCCCCACCCCTCCCCGCCCAGCCTGTTCCCCCACAGGTGCAATCCCCAGCTGTGCCCGCAGGGTGTTGCTGTGGCCGCAGGCCCGGCTTGCGAAAGCCACCCCTCGTGCACCACGGCACCCCCACCACCACGCCCGTGGGCGTGCACAGGGCACGTGCCATCCCTGCGTCTCCAGCTGGTGCGGCCCCGGCTCGCCGGAGACAGCCGGTGGCGGCTGAGTGAATGCACCTCGAGGGAACGGGTGTCGTCGGCAGTGATGGCCGGCCCGGCGTCGGATAAGGAGTGGACGGACCCTCCCACCTGAATGACGGCAGGCCTTCCGTCAGTGCCCGCCGGCGAGGGGACAGTGACACGTGACGAACTGGACGGGCGTGGGGAACAGGGCTTTGCCCGTCGCAGGCACCGAGTGAGCAGGAGTCCACCCCTCCCCCCGACTTCCTCCAGGTGCAGGCGGCTGCCCGACCGCCCGCCCACGGCCCACGGCGACCTCTCCTCCGAGCTTCTCCTGCGGGTCGGCGTCCCAGGGGCAGACAGACGCCCTTCCTTTGTGAAACGGCCTGTCGACCCCGAGAGGGCACTGAGGTCGTGGCTGAGACTCGGCGTGTCAGGTACAACTGGGGGCCGACGGAAAACTCGGCGTCACAGAAACGAGAGTGCGTGCGGGGGTGGGGGGGGCAGGACCAGTCGGTGGGGGGTGGGGGGAGGTGCGGGGCCTTCCTGAGCCCCGGATGCTGGGCCTTGAGTCCTGCTGCATTTCCAGAATCCCCAGCCAGCATGCAGGTCCCTCTGTGCTGGGGTTTGTCCCGAGGGTGGAGTGGACCCAGAGGAACTGGGTAATTGTTCTCGTGCGTCGTCATAGAAATATCCAAAAGGCCAGTTCACACACGGGCCGCCCCACTGGACGGGGGCTGGGCCCAGAGAGAGACCAAGGGCGGCGTCCCCCCTCGGGCGCAGGTGTGACCCACGGCGTCCAGGCGGGTCTCTGGGCGGGGCCTTGTCTTCCAGGGCGTGGGCCCCCCCCCCCCCCAGCAGGGGGGTGTGGAGCGGGAGGGTTCCAAACCGAACTGAGGTTTAGATTATTACGTTCTCGCCTCACTGGTGTGTTGCTCTCTCACCCCTGCTGCGGCTGGAAGGCCCCCGGGGGATTTTAACAGAGAGGCGGACCGGGGCCTGGGCCCTGGGGGGCCTGTCCGCAGCCTCCCCTGCCCCGTCCCCCCGGGCACGGAGTTTCCCGACGGAGGGACCCCGAGGCCGCCGTCGCGCTCGTTCCCCTGGACCGACCTTTGTACACGCTGTTCCCTTCCTCGAGCGCCGGGAGGAACACGCTGGGGGACATCTTCCACTCCTCGTCTTCTTCCTGTCGGAGCAGAGGGCGTCCCTGGGGATCGCGGGCACAGGGGGTCTGTCGGGGCTGCACAGCGGCAGGCGCATCCGCTGGGGCTCGCGGGCCCTTCCCGGGGCGGGGAGCGTTGCCCGGGCCTGCCTGCCCCGCCTGCGCCCCCCCACCCCGCCCCGACAGCGCCCGAGGGCCAGTCCGACGCCAGGCGCGCCCGGCTCTGCAGGCGCAGCCCCGTCTGCTGGCCCCTGAGGGGCCCCGGCGCCGCCTCTCTGTCTCGTGCATTGTGCGGGAGCAGACTCCTGCGCGGCGGGCCCCGGCCTGCACTTGTCCCTGGGTCGGACCGCACCCCACCCGGCCCCCGCACACCGCACACCTGCGGGGCACAGTGCATGGCGGGAAGGCGCCGACAGCCCCGCTGCCGTTTTCAAGCACCAGGTCTGTCCTCAGTTCCCCGACCCTCCGTGCGGGGCGGGCGCCGGATCCACAGCTGGGTCACAAACACCCGCAGAGCGGTCGCCGCTCCGCCACCCGGGATCAGGACCGACCGGGCGAGGCGGCGCCTGCACCACCTCGGACCCGGCCAGCCCCCCTCTCCCGGCCCGACCCGGCACCCAGGGGGAGCCACGGGCGTCTTCTGTCCCAAAACACCCGTTCCCGCACGCAGGCTTGGCCGGCCAGTCTCAGGGGATGCTTCCAGATTCCTCAGGGCTGGACGGAAAAGACAGGGTGGTCTCGAAGCAGCGTACCCCCGCAGCTTAAATATGCCGACGCGTACCACCGGTCACCATTTATCCATCCAGTGGCCACGCTGCCCCACCCTCGGTGGCCCCGCGTTCCTCGGGAACCGCCCACCGTCTCCAGGCAGGTCACGGGATCTCACGCCACCCCCCCCCCCGCCCGCCGCCCCGGCCGCGGCCTCGGAAACTCGGGTCTGCTCAGGCTCTGGGCTTCCCCCAAACCGCTCATCGTCCTTGGGGCGCCCCTGAACGGCCGGCCGGGTGACACAGTGCCTGCTCTCCGGGTGACACAGCCCGGACTTCGAGGCTGGCCTTTCCCGGGTTCGGGGGACAAGCCTCGCCCACAGCGAGTTTTTACTTTGCAAGTGCCAACGCCCTTGTGCCTCTGCAAAGGAAGAGGCTTGGAATGAAACAGAAATCCTTCCCCTCGTCCTTATTCAGGGCGCTGCTCAAAAGTCACCTCACCCAGTGAGGGGAGGGCCACAAAAATCCAGTTTATCCGGGGGGCTATCTTTGGAGGGAGGGCGAGGGGACAACGCAGAATGGCTGGGGTGCAGGTGCGGGCAGGTTAGCGGGGCAGCAGGCGGTCTCCCGGGCCGGCTGCCCTGGGGACACTCAGCGGCTGTACTGGGCGCAGTGCCCACAGGGTGGGGGGGGGTAGGGAGCAGCTGACTGTCACAGCCACAGGGGAGCCCAGGAGGTGGGGGAGCCCCCCAGTGAGGGGCCCAGCCTCCTTCCCCTAACACCTCCTCGGGGGCAGCTGCCCCGTGGGTGTGGGGTCATCTCATGGGGTCAGCGCTCTCGGACCCGGAGGTCAGAGCCCCCTTCTGGGTAGTCGGGGACTGGGCGCTGGGGTGCCCACCTGGGCATCCATGCAGCGGGGGGTGCCCCGCATGAGCAGTAAGGAGTCCTGTCTCCCCTCTGACCCCCCCCGCACAAGGCCAGACCTGGCCCAAAGCCGCCGTCTGAGCCCTGACTCTCCCTGGATGGCGAGAAGCAAAGACTTCCGTGGAAACACACCCGGCCTGTCCGCGTTCAGTGATGAATGCGAGGGCCCTCACTTCGGTGGAAACAGATACAGCTATTTGACTTCGCGGCGGTCACATGGTTTACTGAGCGGTTCTCCCTATCTCCACCCCGATGGGAGCCGCGGGGGACCGTTCCCTCCGGGGAATGAGAAGGCAAAGCGGTCCCACCTGTGGCTCCGCACGGACGGCATCTGAGCCTTTGAAACCACTTGTCATGCTAATAGGTATTTATGGATGGGGGAAGAGATGGCAACCGACTGGCGTTGACACAAAACCACCTGGGCCTGGTGGTCGGCGGCGCGGTTTCCCAGGCAACGTGGCCCCCCCCCCCGCCCCCTGTCCCAGCAGATCCGACGTCGTCCCCCTGGTTCACCACCAGGGAGTGAGACGCCTCGAATTTCTAAAATTCCAAATTCCTCACCTTATCTTTTTCTTTCTTTCCTTTCTTTTCCTCCCTTTTTTTGGCTTTCTTTTCCTTGGCCTTCTTTTTCTTCTTTTTGTTTTTTTCTTCCTCTTCTTGGCTCGCAATGATATCTTCAATAACCTGTTGAAAAAAACCAAAACGACGACAGCCTTTCAAGGGAGTCCCGTGGAGGCGAGGGCTGTCTTCCGGTTCGAAGGGCGGACTGGTGCCGCTCGGGCCCCGGTCTCTGCCTGGCTCTGGGCCCTGGATGCTGACCCCTGCTGGGGTCACCCACTTGCCCCCGCCTGCCCCACCCTCGGGTGGATTCATCGTGGGAGGCAGCGGGCGGGTCCCCGGGGACAGATGGATGGGGCGGGGTGGCACTTCAGGCCCAGCTCCTCGCTGAGGCGGGGCTGCCTGGACCCCCAGGAGCCCCACGGACAGGAGGGGGCCCAGGCCCCTCCGCACCACGGCCGTGGCCTCCGCGCCGTCCTGTCCGCATGTTGCCCCCAAATCCCAGCCGGGAGGCCTCGGTCTCCTGCTGGACTCCGGCGGGGACAGGCGCTCCTGTCGCCACCTCGCCCGCCCGTGGGGGACCACGCATCTCTTCTCGGGGTTCCTTCTTTCCCCTGTGACCTAAGGCAGGGTTCCCACGGCGGCCCGAACCCACTTACTCCCTCCTCCCAAGCTGAAACTGTTTGTTAAGGGGCACTCGGTCCACAGGGGACCAGCACCGCCGAGGAGTCAGGACAGGCCTGTGGCAAGTCTCGCAGGCCAGGTCAGCACGACGGGCGTGTCACGCGCCGTGGCGCAGAGCTCCGGGGGCGCGGAGGCGCTGGGGACGGGCACTCACCTCGTCTGGCCCTCGGGCCCCCTGCTCCTCGCCAGCCATGGGGCCCAGGAGACCAGTGACATAACTGACCTGAGGCTGGTGTCCTCGGCTCTAAAACGAAGTCCCCACGTCCGTCCGTCCGTCCATCTGTCCGTCCACAGCGCTGGCGTGGCTCCAAGCCTCCCGGAGACTAAGCCCTTCACCCCTACACTCAGCCCACGGGCGGAGCCGCCCTCCTCGGCTGCTTTACTGACCAGGGGACCGAGGCGCCGAGAGCCCCGGGACCCGGCCGAGGACGCACGGCTGGGGAGGGGCCGAGCTGCCGTCCAAAGCCGGGCTCCGCCGCAGGGCGCGTTTGACGGCGGGGGAGCAGGGGGGTCAGATGAGACACAGCCGTGTGTGTAGTGCACGGGTTTCGGTCATAAAGCGGCGTCTTTGGGCGGGATTGGCAGTCCCCCGTCACACGAGCAATGTTTCCTCGGGGACCAGGTCACCTCGACCCCTGGAAGCGGATCGCGGCTGCCCGGGGTGTCACGTCCCGGAGTCCTTAGGAGGCACGGGTGTTTTTTTGGTTCTTGAAGGTTTGGAAACTTTCAGAAATGCCAAGAGTTTTTACCAAAAAAAAAAAAAGTCTTTTTATATCTTATTTTTTATATCTTATTTATTTATTTTTAGAGAGAGGGGAAGGGAGGGGGAAAGAGAGAGAAACATCCATGTGTGGGTGCCTCTCACACGTCCCCTACTAGGGACATGGCCCACAACCCAGGCACGTGCCCTGACTGGGAATTGAACCGGCGACCCTTTGGTTCACAGGCCGGCACTCCACCCACTGAGCCACACCAGCCGGGGCAGAAATGCCAAGACATCTAAAAATATACATAAAAATGAGCAGTTGAAAAACGGATGGAATCTTCATTTGGGGAGCACACAATCCAGCGTATCTTTTAGAACCTCACCGATCATGTCGCTTATTCCCCTCTCTATTAATTCAGTTCTCTGAGCGGGTGACAGAGTCACACGGTGCACCGTTCAGGGACGACGGAAGAGCGTGCAGGGTAACGCTTCCCGCCCGGGCTGTGAGCCGGCCACCGGCACCCCCGCTCCGGCGCCCACGCAGGCTCCCCGGACACGCCCCCAGAGCCAGCAAACACGTGCCGAAATGCGTGTGCTCGTGCACACAGCCACGCACACACAGCACACGGGCGTCTTTCGCCAGTCAGGTCCGTGGACAACGGCCCGAGATTGTGGCTGGCCGTTTTCCCAACCAACGCCCTGTCCTTTTCTCGCTCCTGCTCTTCAACTACACAGCAGCGTCTCCCCGAGTGCTCACTTCTGTGCACGCATGTGCACACACGTGGGTAGTACAAGCACCCCTCTGCTGTCTTGTAGAAAAGGGGGCACCTTGTATACCCTGTCCTTGCTCTGCATTCTTCTCCTAACAATACGCCCCGGCCACGTCTCCTCAGCGGCACAGAGACGGCCTCCTCGCCCACGTGAAGACGGAGGCAGCGAAACTTGTGTGTCAGCGTTCCCACCGGCGGACGCACAGGCAGGCTGCTTCCGAGCTCCTGCTGTCGGCGGCACGCAGCCGCGGAGACATCGCTGTGCAGGCGCCTGAGCCCGTCTGAGGATCGAGTCCTAACCGGAGACGCTCTGGCTCACGTGCACGCCCACCGTCGTCAAATGTGCTTCTAAGGGGGGGGGGCGGGGGCTGCTCATCTGCCCCCGTGCATGCCACTATGGCGCCTTTGTCCACTGGCTGAAGGGCTAGGAAACAGCGCCTCACTGTGGTTGTCCTGGGTGTGTGTGTGTGTGTGTGTGTTTCATGCTACGCTGACTTTTTTTGCTTGTTCTCTTCAACTATAGCAAAACCTCCCAAAGTGAGAAGGGCACTTCATTGCCTATTATCTCAGCCATTGTTATTTCTGGTAAATTATGGGGCCTGACGGCCAGAGTTGGCCTGTCATCTGTTTTGTGTGCTTTTTAGAAATAGATTTAATTTCACTGAGGCCTGTTTTACATACCAGACATTTACCATTCCCGCGTGCCATTCAGTTTTTAGCCAATTTACCAAGTTGTGCCGCCACCACCAGAAACGGACTCTGGAACATTTCCATGGCGCGTGAAGACCCCCCCTCATGCGTGTGAGTTGTTCACCCCCCTCCCGCCCCTCCCCTCCTTCCCGGGCGAGGGCCAATCCACCTTCTGCCTCTGCAGACCGACTTTTCCTGGACAGTTCACGCAGGCGGAGTCACGGTCTTCCCTGTCTAGCCGCCCCCACGCAGCACCCCGAGGCTCACCGTGCTGCAGCCTGTGCCAGCGGCTGGCACCGTCGTTTCTGCTGAAGAACTCTCTGCTGGGTGGCCTCCCCTCTCCATCCACGGGGGCGGGGCACTTAGGTGGTCTCAGACTGCTGGCATTATGAGCAACGCCGCTGTGAATACTTGTGCACAATTTTTTTCCCGTGTGGACATGTGTTTTCATTTCTGTTGCACAGAGTCGTGGGTGTGGGCCTGGAGGGCCTTGTGGTGCATCTCTGGGTAACGGTTAAGAAGGTGACAGACTTTCTGCGGCATCCCACATTCCTGCCGGCCATGTGCGGGGGGTGGGGGGCCGCCCTTTCTCCGCCTCCCCAGCGTTTGTCAGGGGCGGCAACGGTTCCAGCCCGCGAGAATCTTTCTCATAACAGCCATCCCCGCGGGTACAGAATGGTTTCTCTTTGCGGTTTGAATTCCCATTTCCCTAATGACGAAGGATGCTGAGCACATTTTCATGTGTTTATTAGCTATTCATGTATCTTTTTTTTGGGGTGAATTGTCTATTCAAGTCTATTGCCAAATTCCTGATCGGCTTATTCATCCTGTCATTGAGATGTCAGCGTTCCTTGTCTATTCTGGACGCAAGCCCTTCACCAGGTACGTGTTTTGAAATGTCTCCTCCTCGTCTGTTCTTGCTCTTGCCTTTGCATTTTCTCAATGTCTTTGAAGTGCAAAAGTTCTGAATGTTGATGAGCATCGATTTATCAGTTTTGTCCGCAGCTGCCGCTCGCTCTCCTCTGCGTTTCTCCTGCACGTGGGGGCTTGACCGTCTCCTCGTATGATCAGCAGTTCGTGCGCCTTCCGATTTTCTTTGCCGGGAACTGTCTGTTTATGCCCTTTGCCTGTTTTTTTTTTTTTATATTGGGTATTGATCTTTCTCTCATAGAGCGGTAGGAGCTCTTTATATTATTACAGAAATGATCTCTCACGTGCGACGCTCGCTACAGATAATTCTCCCCGCGTGTCCCCTGACATCTGACTTTCCGGGGGGCTGGTTTTGCCGTGCAGGTTAAAAATATTTTTCGTGTGCAGTTTAATTTATCATTTGTTCTGGTAGGACCCCGGGGGATGCCGCAGAGGGAGGAGGCCTCACCCACCACGAGGTCGTGACTTATTTCTTCCTCCGCGCCCCCAGGTCCTCCTGCCTTTGTTTCGTTGGGCGCTGAGATCTGTGATCCAGCTGGAACCATTCTGGCATGAAGAGACAGAGATGTAATTTTCTTTTCAGAGGACAACCTGGCTATTCTAGTACCGCATATTAAATAGTCTTTTTTCCCTTCTTACACAAGACACGTGAGATGCCACATTTACTGTATTTTGCCACGTGTAATGCACACCCGTTTTTGTGCCTATTATACACGGGTGTATTAGACCCATTATTACACTTGTGGTACAATGTACAATGTGCATGTACAATGTACAATGCGCATCCTCATTTTTTCCTCAACAATTGGGGCAAAAAGTGCGCATTATACACAGCAGAACACGGCAGTATGTACTAGACTTCCAAATGTATTTGGGCACATTTCTTGATTTCCCATTCTTCTCCGCTAATGGGTCTTTCCAGTCATTCGTTTGTACCAATGGGCCCCGATAATGGGTTTTCACGCCCGGCAGGCCTAATCACGCTTCACACACCTTGTTTCCAGAATCTTACTGGTTGTTCTTGGTTGCTTAGCTTGTGACTGAAGTCCGGCACTGGGTCGGCCCCCTTCCTGGGCCCGCTCCCCGCCATGCTCCGACACAGCACTGTCGGCACGTTCGCCGGGCCCCGGGACCTCCGTCGAGGGGGCTGGGTGGGGAGAGCGAGGCGTCTGTGACGTCGCGCACCCTTACCTGAGGGCACCTCCCGAGTTTTCGCCTTCCTGTTTGCACCCCTCGGACAGCTGTAGAGGTTCCCTCCCACAAACACGCTCGCGTCCCTGGGTCTACTCCCCGGGATTTCATCCTTGCCGCCGCGCTGCTGCAGACGGGCCCTTCCGCTGTCCCGTCCGTCCCCCCGCCGCGTGCGCCCACTGCTGCCCTCGCTCCCTGTGCATTAACTCGCCAACCCCCGCAGCTGCTTCTCGGGGGTCTGAAGGGGGCTATTCCGTTTATCGTCTTCGCTTGTCCAAGTACAGAACCCTCCGGCACGTCACGCTCACACAGTGACCCTGCTGCCCCCTCCCCTCCCATCGCTACCTCTCCACGTCTGTCCTTCTGACGGCGCTCCCCAGGCAGGCGGGACCAGGGTGACGACGGCCGCCCCTGTGTGTCTCCTGGCACCAGTGACAACGTCCCCGGTGAACTTCATTAAGCGTGACACTGGCCTTTGATCGAAGGTGGAGCTATGCGGTCGTCTTACAGAAGTATCCGCTTCTCCCAATTGTTTTCTTTTTTAACACCAAGGATGGGTGCTGAGTTTGTCAGACGCCCGTCCGGCGCCCACGGCGACGAGCCCACGGTTTCTGCGTGAGGATCTCTCTGCGTGGCGCGGAGCATTCACGCACGCCCTGAGCTTGCCGTGTCCCTCCGTTCTGGAACGGCCGGTGCCTCCCTGCGGCGTTCTGCTCAGGTGTCACGCCGCCGGTTTGCAGCGTGCCGATGCTTCGTGTCAATGCCGGCGTTAGTACCCGCAGCCAAGACGGCCCGTGGCCCCATCTGCATTCCGTCGTTCAGTGTCAGTGTGACGGGACGCCGCCCAGTCCACACAAGAATCGTCTGCACTAGTTTTGTTGTTTGCGGGTATGAACCGGACTCTTGACGCGCGTCATGATCACGGTGAGGCGTGGCCTGCCTCCTCATCCCACGGCGACCAACACGTGTAACAGCTGCTACAGCTCTCTGGAAGCTCTCTTTCCACGCACGAGTCATCTCCAGTTAGGACATCAGACCCGGGAGCTGGGCGTGGCTTGGGCATCCAGGTGCGGACGGGGTCGGGGAGCCCAGCTGGCCCCCGGCTGCAGGCCTCCGGCGCCGGGACCCCTCTGCTGCCCGGACCCCTCCGTCATCCGGCCTGGGGCCCCTTCATGGCACTCAGTGACTAACCAGACCCCCTGGCCTCGCTTTTGTTTAGTTCAACGAGATGTCAGCTCTGCTTGCAGTGGTTTCTCATCTGGAATTTAGACATCCCGCTGACGTTCTTAATCCTGTAATTGTTACCTTTCTGCGCGAACACGGAACATGTCTGGCTGCCGGCCACGGGCGTTCAAGCCAGGATGTGTGGCTGACGCTGCGGCTGGAGGGACGGGACCGGGACTTCAGAAGTTCAGCGACACCGAGTCCGCCCGACGGTCACCCGGCCAGGGCTCAGTGACCTGCCATGCAAGGGGGTGGACAGCACGTGCCCTGCGAGTGCCGGGGAGAAAGACAGGAGCCCCCTGGGGGTGGAGGGGAGGCTCTGGAAGCGGGAAGGCGTTGACAGGGGCACGCGGGGTGCTGGACTCCGTGCGTCCCTGCAGCGGCGCTCGGGGGCAGCCAGGATGCCGGGATGCGTGGCGCAGGTCTGGCCGCCACCTGGGCCTCCGGGTGGTGCCACTCGTCCCCTCCCGAAGAACGGCGGCCTCTGCTCTGCTCTGTCAACGCACGAATGACGCAGGTGCAAGGGACGTTTTCAGCGTCTGCAGCAGGGGTCGGTGGCTGGCAGTGCACGGGCCACATCCGGCCCGACGCCCGTGGTGACGGATAAAGTTTTATTGGACGCACTCCCAGGCATTCACTCAGCGTCTGTTGCCGCTTTCACGCCGCCACAGCAATGCCGAGTAGTTGTGGCAGCAGGTGCGCGCTCCCCAGACGCACACGCTGCTGACTGTTGGGCCCTCTGCAGAAAACGTGCGCTGGCCCCAGCCCACGGCAGCCTGTCTTACCGCTTCCTCGGCGTGAGTCCCTTCACCAGCACGTGCGGGTCAGAGGGCGTGCGGACGGAGCTTCTGGTTTTCACTCAGACCGTTTCCCTCCAACGACGTCGCGGCCACTCACGCGCCCAGCAGCAGTGGGTACCAGTGCTCTCCCCACGGGTCAGAAGCTCCGGTCATTGTCACGAGCCCAGACTTTCGCCAATCCTGCACGTGCGCAGAGGCAGAGTAACACGGTTTAAATTCCTTTGTTGGTGGCTTGTGCAGTTTCCCCGGTTAGACTTCTGTGTGCGTTCGCTGTCACTCTTCCCTGGGGGCGCGCGGAGCTTCCCTGTCGCCTCTCGAGAACTCCGCACGCGGGAGACGCCGTCGTCACAGGGGCGCCCGTGTGCTCCCCCCCAGCACTGGGGCGCCCGACCGCTCCACCCTTCGCTTTGGTGCACGGAGAGCGGGGCCGGTTCCCCGTGAGCAGCAGGCTTTTCCAACCCCTTCTGGCATGTTTCCATGTGCTGGCCCCCCCACGTAAACTGGGGAGTGCTGTTGTCAACGCAGCTGGTGCAACTCGCCTGGAAGTGCCCTGAGTGTGGGGAGAAATGACAAGATAACGTGTGTGTGTGTGCCTGACCGAGTCCTTCCAGGGAAATGACCCGTCGGTCTGTTGGGTCAAGTCCCCCTTCAAACTCTGCAGTGTGACTTCGTCCATACACTTCTATACGATTCTGCACAGCAGGCCAGCGTGATTTTTGTTGTTTACTGGGTTTGGGGGGGAGATAATCACACAATGTAAGAACAATGACAAAACGATCACTTTAAAATATGTATAACTCCTTTTCTTTTTCTAATCACATTGGACAGGGAGCTGGACGTCACAGGAACATTCTAACCAGTAGTCCTGGGGGCAACCCCTTTGTCTGGGGTTCTACCTCTGAGGGCCCGCCTCTAACGCGTCGCCGTTGACAACAGAGCCAGTCTGCTCTCGGTTTCTCCCGCAAACACACTCTGAGGTCAAGGAGAGTTTCCCATTCCCAGTTTATTAGGACATCCCCAAAACTAGCTTTCAAGGCCCACTTCGCCCCATGCCGGGGACATCCACCCAGGTGCTCACACGGCCAAGAGCGGAGTCCTGGTGGGTGCAAGGGCCGAGCAGTGGACACTGAGGGGGTGGCCCCCAGGAACGGACTGGTCCAGGGCAGGAACGGGGCAGCAGCAGGGGCTGGGAGGAGGCCCAGAGGCGGTGGGAGTCACGGGGGTGACGGGATGGGAGGCGCAGGGGCGGGGGCGCCAGGGCTCCCGGGGAGGGCGGGGGGAGCCGCTGGGTGTGCACCGGGAAGATGGGCACCATGTGTTCCCGCCTCGAGACCGAAGGCGAGACGGGGGCGGGGGGCACGTTTCTCCTGAAACAAATCCGCGAGGGCACGCACGGCTGCACATCAAAAGCGTCGTCGTGTAAACAGCTTGCGGAAAAACAGCCGTGACCCACCGGCTTCCAACTCCAGGGGAATGCAGTCCTGACATGTTTACATTTTACTTTTCCAGCCGCATTTGTACCTGCTGGGGGGTCTTGTTGGAGAAAATGACGGCGGAGCCCCCGTCCTCTGCGTCCGGGTACTCGGGGAAGCTGCCGGTCAGGTTCCTGAGGGGGAAAGAGGCGGGTTAGACAGAGGCGATCGATCGTGGTCCTCTCCGCCGCAGCTCCCCCCACCCCCGGGCCGGCCGGCTCTGCTCACGTCCGTCTCCCTGAGTGGCCGCTACTGGGCGGGGCTCCTCGGGGCGGGGGGCTCCCCCCCAACTGCGGGCTGGATGCCAGCGGGAACCGTTTCTCTCTCCCTCTCAAACAGAGTGAACATCTCACCCTTTTTTTGTCTAAATCACGGAGACACCCCGGGTTAAGGATGAAGACAGAAGAGGCACAAATCACCTCTTCTTGTTTAAAGTCGAGGATAAACACAGGCCCTCGACACTGAACAGAAGGGCGGCGGTGTCACAGCTGCACACTCAGCACGGGGCGTGCAACACACGTGTGCACCACGGGTTTTGGTAGGGCTCAGGCCTGTGTCTCGCGGCTCCCGAGTAGTGACGTGCTTTCCCCACAACCGTGTAATGTCTACATCTTAAAAATCAGGCTTTACAGTGTCGTGTTTAGGTTTTGGAAGGAGTCTGTAGCCACTATTTCCAGAAGGAACTGACTGTGACACAAGGGCGGTGCTTACCCCTGCCCACCCCCCCCCCCCCGCCCCCGCGCACGGGAAGAGAGGGCGAGAACCGCGGTGGCTGCACTGACGCCCCGAACCTCGGGGTCCAAGGAGAGGCCGTGTTCAAAATGACTCGCCTGCAACAGCGGTTCTCAAACTTCCGGCGTTAGGAGCCCTTTACACTCTTAACGATTGTTCGGCACCCCAGAGAGCGTTTGGAAAGCTCGGCGTTGTTGCCATTGGTAGGTACTGAATCAGAGAGTGAAACTGAGAAAGTTCTAAAATCTGCATTTCCAATTCGTTAAAAATCACAATAATAAACCCTCTATATGTTAGTGTAAATTTCACTTTCAATGAACGACATGTTTCCCCAATCAGAAACAACTGGTGAGAAGTTCCTGTGTCGCCCCTTGGAAGTAGTCACGTGAGGGTCTGGCTCAGCAGAGGTGAGCGGGCCGCTCGGACCTGCTTCTGCTTGGACCCGTGGCCCTGGGCGGGACCCGTGGCCCTGGGCGGCTGCTCGGACCCGTGGCCCTGGGCGGCTGCGCGGGAAGCACTGGGAAGGACATCCGGTCTCATGCACATGCATGCGTGGGGAAGGGAGGGCACCTTCAACAGCCTTCTGGGTGGCTGAGGATATTTTCTGCTTTGACTCCACCCTGCCGCTGAACCGGGGTGGGTAAAGGCTGGCCGTGGCGTGGAATCTGACACCACCTCGTGACCCAGTCCTTCCTCGGCAGGTGGGAACCCACGGGCCCGCCCTGCCCGAAGGGCAGGTCGTCCACCGCACTCGGCTCTGCCACTCCGGGCACTGGGCGTGCGGCTCTCTGAGCTGCGTGGGTGTCCCCAACGCGGACACGTCGCCTCACGCCAGAACCAGGAGCCTTAACTCCGCCCCCTTCTCCCCGAAGGCCAGGTGCCGGGAAGCCCTCAGACTCACAGACACGCTGCGAGGGTGCCAGCGTTTTCATTTCCGCCAGAAAACTCAGATTCTACTGTCGGCGACACGCACTCTGGGTTCTTTTCCTTCTGGTTCACTGGGTTCAAGTTTGAGAAAACGTCTCCCTAAGACCCAACTCTGAACAGCCAGAGGTGGCCACTTGTTTTTTCCCCAAATAAAAGTGGGGTTCCGTTCAAGGTGGATGGTTCGGCTGGACCCTGGACAGCCCCCCACGTCCCGCCCCCCTCCTCGGACGGCGGCCGCGCCGGTGTGCCGCGGAGGGAAGGCGTTTCTGCCTCTCGCGGTTCTGCCCCGCAGAACGTGACGAAAAGGCTGTGTGTCCCGGGGGCCAGGCCCTCCACACTAACGGTCTCCCACTGCGTCCCCAGGGCCTCGTTAAAGGAAACCTTTTCGCCGGCAGGTGCGTGGTGGCGAGGGCCACAGTGACTCCAAGCCGGGCCTCTGCCTTGCTCTCCGCTGCTCCCCCCTCTAACCCCCCCACGGTGTCTGGGCGCAAATGGCAGGCACCATGGCCAATCCTGGCTTAGTGGCCACAGGGAAAGAGCTTGACTTTTGGGTCCAAAAGGGTCTTGGAGACCCCCAAGGTCACGGGCGCACTTTGAGAAGCACCACTCAGATGCCCCCGAGACAGGCAGCTCGCCCTGCCGCGGGCGGTCCCTCTGCTTCCAGGCCCTCTGCTGGCGTGGGGTCCTTTCCAGCACCGGACCAGCTGCAACCTGACCCCGGGTTCTCGTTTCGCCTCCCGGGGACCAAGAGGGGAACGTGATCCTGGTTCCTTCTGCTCCACGCGACTGCCCTTCCTTCAGGCATTTCCAGGCAGTTAGGTCACCGTCTGGACGGGACGGTGCAGGTCTCTCCGGTCTCGTCTGTGGGCTCGCTCTTCCAGAACTCGACTCACCCCCAGCGCTGCTCTGGGAGGAGCCGAGCACGACACAGTGTGTGCGTGTGTGCGTCTGGGTGGGGGGTGTGGACAAGTGCACTAACGGCGAGGGTGGCAGGTGAGCACACACTGTGTGTGTGTGACATTCTCTCTGTGGAGCTACCATCATCGCAGCTACTTTGGCGGCCTTACACACGCATCCATCCAGGCATCCACTCATTTATCCACCTGCCCATTCATGGTTTTCCTTAATCCATCTATCCATCTATCCATCCACTTGTTCGTACAGTCAATCAACAAACCCCGGCTTAGTGCCACCTCGGGCCTGGGTGCAGTGACGGGAGGCAGTGGTCTGAACATCAAAGGAGGCTGACCTTGCCCTTGGGGAGCTCACGTCTCACAGTCGCGCTGCATGGGGCCCGGCTGACGCGGACACTGGGCCCCAGACGCTGGTTGTCCACAAAGTCGCATCTGTCGCAAACCCGGCCCAGCCAGGTCCTGGGTGAAGACGCCAGGCCGGGGCTCTCTCTGCCTCAGGCCCGGGTGGCCCCTCCCTTCAACGGCGCCCCCCACAGCAACGCCGCTGCGTTCCCACGCTCGGATGCCGGGATGGTTCTGAGGACTCAGAGCAAACTTAGCAAAATTGATAGAAACTACACACTAAAAGGATTTACACACTCCACTCAGGCAGTGGAGTTCTTAATTATGCCCCGCATCACTCGTCATGGTAAGATTGAATAACATAGGCTGGCCACAGTACTTTTTGCGAAAGTAGTATTAAATACATTTACCTTCCATAGATAAGTGGAGATATGTAGTTCTCCTTAGCCACAACAGTTCAAACCATCACTAACCCGAAACTGAATCAGCCTCATCCTTAGAAAGTGCAGAAACTGTGGTGGGGCACACATTTCAAAGATACATTTTAAAATCCATGTCCAGAAAAGGAGAGTGTCACCCGACAGCTCTTTATCTGGAGCGTGGACACACACACACACACACACACACACACACACACACACACACACGTGTTCTCCTGTGCTCTTGGCGTGCTGCTCCGAGCTCTGTCCCCCCAGGGCCAGGGCTGGCAGCATTTCCAGGGCGCCCTGGCTTCGCTCCGGTCGGGACTCTGTCCCCGTGACTGGGTCACGTGGAGCGCGCTAAGAGAACACAGTTTAGAAATCTGTTTGATGTGCCCTTGGCTGCTGGGCGTCGCCCCGTATTTTCAGTGCCTGCTGCAGCAGAGGTGGGGCCGCCGCCGCCCCTCCATGGCCAGCGTGCGCGGGACTGAGGCACGGCTGAGCTGTCCCCGCGCACTGTCAGGCAGCCTGGTGACCCCAGCTACGACGTCTCCCCACTCTCGCTACTTTCTACCGAATCCGCCAAGACTCCCTGCTCCCCCGGCTCTGCATGGCAGCCCCCGGGCTCCATGCCCAGTTCCGCTCGCTGATCGTGTGTGTGTGTGTGTGTGTGTGTGTGTGTGTGTGTGTGTCTGCGCAGCAGCGCCCTGCGTCCCCTGGTTTCTCTGTGTGACACGCTGGGGTATAGGGTGCCATCTGTCCCTCCTTGCTGCTCTTACACGGACCGCGACGGCTTCGATCATTGTGTTTCAGGTCCGATAACGAGTCCTGCTGGAGTCTAATGGAAACTGCGTTCTCTCTATAAATCACCTCGAGCACACGTGTCGTCTCCGCGGGAACCAGACGCCGGGCACACCCTGCACGTACTGGGCGCTTCCTCATCTCCTCCCTTTAACGCTGCGGCCGCCCGGCTCCGTGTCCTTCTCGTCCACGGTCACCCCGTCTCCGACTGAAAACACGGATTTTACTCCTTTAAAAAAAAATACGTATTCCTGCCCCTGGCTCTGATGTCGTTGTATGAACGGTGGTTCACGTTGTGGCAGGAATCACTGCGAGGGGTGAAGGCCGTTCCCCTGGTTCTTCCCCTTCACGGGGGCGGGGGTGCGGGGGGGGTGGCAGGAGTTCCCCGCCGAGTGCACAGCTCTCCCTGGGTTTGAGAAACACTGGGCGTCTCCCTCGTTCATGCGCTCACTCATTTAAAGTGCATTCACGGAGGCCCTACTAAGCGGCAGGCACTGCAGGGGCCCGGGGGAAGCAGGAAACGGAAGGCGTAAGCATCTGTCTCTCTTCAGCTTTCGGTGCATTGCGCGAGGGATTCACCTTGTCTTTCTGGTTTGAAGTTTTATACGTAAGAGGCAGGGGTCTGGTTTCGTCACGTGGTTTTTCTACATGAGCCCGAAGGGTCACGTGGCTTCTGACGAGGGCACCCAACGTGGACTGCCTCCGCCGCCTGACCGTCCATGTGTCCGGGGACGGACCCCGCGGCCTCACGCAGCGCCGCTACGAAGTGTCTGTTCCCCGAGTCGCGGCGGCAGAGCCGGAGGGCCAGCGCGAGCCTCCGGCCTCCCTTCTCCCAAGTTCCCGGGGCGTTGGGGACAGTCCTGGGAGGGGGGCTCCGGAGGCGGGGCTCCTGAGGGCTGGGCTTCCCGAGGAGGACGCTCCTGGGGAGGGGCCCCAAGCCTGCTCTGGCAGGGGGGTGTCCCCGGCGATGGGGCACCCGGGAGCCCAGGGCCCCCCGCC